GAAAAGACCGGATTGGAGAGCCGTGGAGGGCGGGATCGGTGGATCGATCGATGCACAACCGTTGGACTGGCTTCCCTCTCGTTTGCCCCGCTATTCCTCTTGAGGTTTAGTCTCCCGCCAAGTACCGCCGCGGCCGAGTCTCGGCTCCGACATCTTCGGCCGGACGAGGAGGAAACTCGACAAAACAACCAGAAGAACAGCTGGACAGCTATGCTTTTTTTTTTTTTCCCCTTCCCTAATCACTCTTGTCCAACATGACTCCTCCGTCTTCGACTGCTCCATACATCCTACTGACCAAGATGGCAATAGTCAAATGCGGAATTAATCTTATCCCTGCCTGCCTAGGTTTTCTTCACGAGGCGACAACAATGTCGCTCGCTTGCCTGTTCCAGTTATTTCATCCGTTCTGCACAGGTTTTATTCTCCTTCATGGATATGACCGATGCATGTGGTAAACCTCAAGTTGGAGGCAACATACGTAGACTGAAACTAAACGAGGGGCAATTCTCCGGTCTCCTTCGCTAGTACTTTGTGGTGTCTGCATGCTGTCTAGATACGTAGTGTTTGCCCGTCCAGTCTGCCTTAGGCCGCCATGGTTCAGGTACCCTCAGTCGCGGCCGCAAGTGGGTCTGTTCTGGCCTCCATGGCTTCTCCTGTGTGTCCTTTGTGTTCCCTGGTAATAATGCAGATGCTCAAAGTTAATTCGCTTCCAACAGTTTGTCGGAGGCAAAGACGGGGGTTACAGATGACAAGCCATACCACCTGCACAGTTCCCTTTCCGTCCCGAGTCCCTCCTGAATAGACCGAGTTGTACTACACAAGATGTAACATACAAAATATCTTTGGAGTGCCAAAGTACTTCCTACTTGCCACTTACTATGGTGTATTTGTGTACTGAGTATGTTTTCATTCCCCGGGATAGCCGCATCCACCAATCATGAGACGGTCATTGGCAATGAAATGCCCCTTACTGTCCATCTCAACCAGTCAGGTGGCCAACAATCCGCATTTCACATCCTCAACTCTCCGACCGTCTCGCTTACTACGCCTGCTCTGACCACGACGCAGTCCATGTAAGCCATACGATGGATGTACTATCCCGGTCTATCTCAATCCACTACAGTATCTTGTACTTTACTCTCTTCAGCTCTGCCTCCGTCCCTTTTTTTCATCTCCCGCGGGTACTCCGAAGGAACACGGACCAAGTCAGTGGGCCACAGCAACCCCGTTCAGGTGGAGAGAGAGAGAGTGCATCGCCTCCCAATTTATTCTCACACACACACACATCTCATAGCCGACCGAGGGGCCTAGCCAGTCTCCTGGAACATTGGGAGTCCTAGCAACCTCCTTTTCCACCAATTCTTTTGACCTAATGATAATCACAACGATGATGAATCCGCCCAAAGTTCCCGGCTGTGGTTACCCGCCATGACGTCTCGGGAGGTCCCCATCGCCCCTCTTCCCGCTACCACAAAAGCTGGAAAAAGGCTGGCTGGCGCGCTATCGACGGAATCTATCCACGGTAAGTCGCTCTCGGAACCACCAACCCGGTTGGCGCTATAGTCAGCGTCCTAAGAATAAAAATTCTCCTACGAGAAGTGACATACATAAAATCTCCGACCAAACTACCCACTGGTCCAGCGCGGACGCTAGTAAATTTCTCGGCTTCAGACGTGGAGAAAATAACCTCGTTGAGTAAGGTTCTTGCTTCTTTTCCCCCAATTTCCCCCCCAATAGTCTCACCTGGCGGACCGGATACCGGGTGCCCAGGGTCTGCGGCAATGCCACCAGTGGTGTGATCCGGCTTCTTCAGAACCCCTTCCTTAGTGCGACGATGCTTCTCGATACACTCACTGTGGCTTGAGATCGCCAAGGATCGCAGAATTCTTCTCGTCGTCGTCGGCCGTATGCCTGCTGCCCCCCTCGGGTGATTGATGACCACCTCTGCCCGATCATCTCGCCCGAGATACTGGGATTGCTCTTGTTCTCATGACACGATTCTGGTTCATCTGGCAGCTGACCTTGTAGCATGTCTCCGGTTAGGTCGTTTCCGACGCACGAGACGCCTGGTGTGTGCCTTGGGCCACCAGATTCTGTATACGTCAAACTCGGCGGAGGTGGACGGCATCTGACTGATGGTCTCGGATGAGGCACCGGCCAGTGCTGGTCAGCCCTACCGTCATGGGTGATGACTGATCAGTGGAATTGATTCAGGATTATGCTCAACATTATTAATGTTCGCTTTAAGGTGTCCCCCCTGGCTGTGGGAACAAGGTTGGGCTTTAGCTTCATGGCACCAGCCCAGAATAGTAACCCCGCAGCACGATTACTCTCCCTCGACTTACAGCTAATTATGTTGTTAGCTGGGCTAAGGCTGATAAGATGTTAACAGACGAATGAGTGTGCCAGAAATGTGAAGGTGGTCTTAGATGTCGCGCGATGATGATGAACAACAGCTGCGGGATAGCAGACGAGGTGCTAAGGACAGTTGCGTCAGACGTGTCTACATGACTTGTGGATAGATAGCACCAACGGAGTGCTGAACTGATTAGATCTAGTCGAGCCTCATCTTGTTCTTCAACGGCGTCACCGAGATCCACAAGCTCTGACCACCACAAGTTTGGGTTGCCGCGGGGTCCGGGCTTGCCAATTTCCCAAAATTCAGCTCGAGGTCAGCACACCCCGGCTGCTATCCGCCCGGCGGGTGCACTACTGTACGATGCCGTGGGGGAACCGGTCCAAGACCTCCCTCTGAGGGCGGATGAGAATTATCCCGGATGACGGCAGGGCGTGTCGGTTGTTCCTCCTGTGTGTTATGTCACAGCGGCAGGAAACCTACTCCCGGTCGTCATCTTGCTGCTAAAGAGTGTATCGGACTTTATCCTGACGTCGGGGTGGAAAGCCGACCTCATCAACCTTCGGCAGATGGGATGCCGGTAAAGAGGGGCATCCCCCCGCATGAGACTTTCAGATCTACGACTCAGGCGGCAGTTACCTCACATGCCTCCCGGTTACCATGCAAAGACGGTTGGGATCAAAGGAATTATGGTAAGCTATCTACTTGCTCCCGGCCAACGCTTTTACTGTCGTCTCAAAGCTCTCAGGTTCTCGTCCCAAGATTTCCTCCAGGAGCGGCGACACCACGGCCGTCTCCCCGCGACGAATAGCATCCCACGCGGATGCCCACTCCCGTGTCAGGTCGATACCATGGTAGGTGTGTTTGGATCCGTGCTGCGGTAAAGCCACATACTCATCGACAGAGATCTCCCGCAGCGGAAGGGACTTGCCAACGGCCTGGCCGAGAATCTCGACCGTCTCCTTCAGCGAGACCTCCCTGGGGCCAGAGAGCAAAAGCACACGGTTCAGGTAGGGGAACCCCGCCGGATTCTTGGCACAGTCTGCAATCAGCTTCGCCGTGGCCTCCCCCAGCTCGTCACGTTTCACCCACGCAACGCCCGGTCCGTCGCCCGAGTGAGGGATCGCGATCTCGTCTGCGGGGTGGTGGATATCGAACCAGCTGGTGTAGATCGGATAGGACTCCGAGTACAGACCCTCCCGGATAGCGGTGTAGGTGAAGTGCCCGGGAAGTTCGGCCAAATACTTTTCGGTCCGCAGATGGGCGCCCATCACGTGCGCGACGCTAGTCTCCTCTAGATCGCCTGCAAAGGCGAGAGACGAATAGAAGATGTGCTTGACACCGCTGCGGCGGGCAGCGTCAATGGCATTCTTATGTGCCTGCCTCTGATCAGCATCACGCCAGCAATATGCCCGCTCGGGATGTCGCTGCAACCTACCTCGAACCGGAACTGGATCTCAAACGAGGCATACGAGATCAACATCAGGATGCCGATGCCATCGAAGGCGCGCTCTAGCGTGGCGGGGTCTTCATAGTCGGCCCGTCGGACGGTAGCTCCGGCCCGCGTGAGTTCTGCAAGATTATCTGGCTTGCGGGCGATCAGGATCAATTCCGATGCAGGCACCAGCTTGACGAGGTGATTGATGATGCTGGTCCCCAGTCCTCCTGCTGCAGGAAAGACACCGATTTTGGCCATGGTGTGTGCGTAGCGTATGACGTAAGGGTGGTCGCACAGGTGCTCCTCTTTCAAGGCCTCGTGATATGTAGGAATGTAGTGATGGACTGTGTGTAGATTTGTCCTATGCAATGCTATGTAGAGGGAAGATGTGCAAGTCAGGGGTCGTTGGCTTGATGGTGTGAAGCCCAAAAGGGTGTGTCTTGGAGCCCCGCTGTTGCTGGCTTACAAATCGGTCTGACGTTGAGGGCAGTCATCAGTGGCTCCGATCGACCATCAGGGGTTCAACCAGCTTTGGAGGGGGTTCAACTTGACCCTGACGGCTATCAACCATCGATTGGCCTCTATAGAGTAATCAAATCACTCAGGTGAAGGAACAGGAGGCTACATGGCTTTCTCGCACCACAGTCGATGATTCTTGGTCCGGGTGCAGGCTGTTTACCGGCACACCCGGAAGCTACCTAGAAATACTCCTCAGCCAAACACATACATTTATACAACAAAAATTATAAATCGACTCGTTATCGAAAAAGTGGTATCTTTTGAGAAAGAAAGCTGCGACGGTAAACTAGGACAACAAACCATGTCCTTTGATTCCAGTGCCCCTTCTTACTAGTAGTAGCCACGTGATCGTAGTATCAGTCCGGACCTCTTTGGAAGGTTCAGTGTGTCTTTGGATAATCTTCCAATTATGAAATCATGCTCATAAAGTAATGGAGTATCAGTAGTGTCATGCTTCTTAATACTACGAGTATCATTGTAAGCTACTGGTAACTTATTACTAGTAGTACTACTTACTAGTAGATGCTACTACTACAGGAATATATATATTCTCCCGAGATCGATCAAACACACTACTAATACATCCATCATCCACTGCACGATCTCCTCCAAACCCCATTAAACTAACCGTTAGCCCGGCACATCGGCAGGTAAATCAAAATTCATGTTTATTCAAGTCTCATTACTACCTGTAAATAACATAAAATAGTACATACTATCAAAGTGACATTTCCCCTCCCAACACCAGCAAGAAGAGAAAGTAGGGAGGACTACTGGGTAATGCACTAATCCAAACACGGCTAGTAAGAAGCACGAGTAGTTGGACTCATCGCGTCTCACCTCACTGGGAATGGTCCATCTCTATTTTAAAAGTATCAATATTACCATCATCACTATCTTGTTACAGGATTAGTAGAGGCAGACAAGGATAGAGCCTTTCAGGTACAGAGAGGATAAGGTTGGGGGTTGTTGATCTGCTCGCGGGATAGAATAGTAGACTAGGAGCTTTACTATAAACAGCAAGTTGGAAGGTACTATAGATGTCTGAGTCGCGATAAGTGCATATACCAAGGATAAAATGGTGGGAGAAAAGGTTATATCTGAAGGCATGCTTGTTCAACGGATACGTATCCTGAAGTTGCACGGCATTATGAACTAGTATAAGGGGAAAGGGAGATGAAATGCATAGAAAAGAATCTAAAGTTTTCATGGCTCTATTTACTTTTCGCTGTAATGGAGAATAGAGAAATGCAAACTAACATCGCTTATAAGCTAGTCACTCGCAGTAGAGAAGCACCCTGAAGAAGAGATACTCAGGTTGAGGGGATTAAGATCATGAGAATGAACGGGGTATACCTGTGACGACCAACTCTTTTTGAGAGTCTCGAATTAGCAGAGTCCTTAGGTCACATATCCATATGTTAACGGTGCCAATACATTTCCGGATAGAGATAAATAACAAATTACATCTTTGCAATGCAATACTCCTTGCAATGACCGTATTCAGACATTGATGTCATCGTCATCATCGAAGCTTCTCCTCCCAGTCCTCCATGAATTGCAAAACCCACTTCCACAGATTTGGAGAGGCGACAAACATATCTTGTCGAATCCTCCGCGGAGGCTCAGCTGCATACTCTGCTTTCCACTCGGACATGAGCGTCATTTTCTTGGCTATTGTGTGCTTGAACACGTTGTTCCGGAAATAGTCTTTCTCATCCCCTTCAACTTTCCACAGGGGTCGGTCCTCCTGTTGAACCTCATCATAAAGCTGGAGGTAGCGAGGCAAGCGACGTTGTTGTAAGAAGTACTCCCCAATGCCTTTTGCAGGGCCAGAGGTAGATTGCCAAACGGTAGCAAAGAGGTTGTAATCACCGATGGAGTCTAGTCCGAGTAGTCGACTCAGGTTCCAGTAGAAATGGCCTTGTTCAAGCGTTTCGCGGTACCTGCGCACCATACTCGTTTCGGCTGATCCGGGAATAGCTGCCAGGAAGCCATCGACGAAGGCCGCATGTAACTCTGGGCTTATCTTGTCGCCATATTGTGGCAGTCCGGGAGGGACTAACAGCATGGAGTCCGGAACAGAAGATGTAAAGGCCCAGTCGATGATACAAGTAATGTTGTAGTCGTCGTCAACATAGATGTTATTGACACTGAGGTCAGCGTGACATAGCGGAAAAGTCCCCTGATGAACAGTTGGGTGTTCAAGCTTGTGTACAATATCGCGGAGAGCATTTCCTGCAACGATGTAATCCAGCCTGTTATCTGCGGAATCAATCTTGCCTCCGACAGTGACGAAGTCATTCCACAGATCTACAGCTTGTCGATGTTGCTTGTCGGAATCATAGTCTTCTCTCGAAGGAACTGGAGCCACAAAGCAATGGTGTGATAAGCGCAGACACTCTGCTTGTTCTAGGAATGTGGAAACAAGACTGTCGTAGAACTCTGCATCGGTAGCAAAAGGGCCACGCTGGCCTTCTATCAAGAATCGCTCATGTAACATATAACAGCGCCATAGGCATCCCTTGATTTTGAAGGCTCCGTCTTCTTCAAAAAGTGAGCCTATCCTATCAAGCCGCAACTGCGAAAGCTTCCAGGTGGTACCGCCTAACTGGGTTAAGACCCTGGCCTTTCTCGAAGGATCTAGGTCAGGTAGGGGAGAGCCAGCTGTTACCCAAACCTTTGACAGGGGCCATCCAGGTGCTTGGCTCATGAGCATGAACGGAACTTTGGTTTCATTATCTGACGATGCGCTGTGACAGGTTAGGCTCGAAGTATATGTCCAGAGGGGTGCATTACCAATAGTCATATACTTCTGGGACCGGAATATCGCTATGGGCTTTGAGGTATCGGAGCGTAGCAGCTTCACTTGCTAGTAGCTTCACTCCAAGATCAAGAGGCATAGATGTCCTCTGGTGTGGTGATCTAAAGACCCATTGTACGCCATCCTCGAAAAGGATGAAGATAGCCCAGTTGAAGCTTCCTGAGGCAGGACGTTGACTGAGATCACATGTACATGGAATACCCTGGCGTAGTGTGCTCGCCCGACGACACACTGCTTCATGGTCGAAATCAGCGTAAATGAAGATGTTTTGCTTCGAGCTCGGGGACATATCGGCCGCCGAAAATTTCGAGGATAGAAGGGAAAGAACGAGGGGCCCGGAGAGTGTGGCCCAAACAGGGATGACCAGCAATGCGTCTCACATTGTCTTGGCTCATGCATAAAAGCGGTGACGGCCAGCTTCCTCTGGGCCAACCATGGCGTGTAATGAGACCGCAACATCATACCCATTGCAAGTTGCGTAGAATGACAGACAATATATAAACTCATCAGGAAGTTGCAACATTTGATAAGGTTTTTTGTTTTGCTTTTTCTTTCATGAGTGAAAATGGTGAATAACAATAGGAATTAGGGTTCTATCACGATCAAGACGAGACAGATGGTATGCTTGAGTAATGTTATCACCTAAGCTGACTAGCACGACCACAAGTAGACCTAAAGATAGGGGTTGCCGCAGGGACAATCTTTCAGGATTCGAGGGAAGCCTGCCCCTGCGTCCCTGGTACTCGCTTCCCTGTTCAGGCAGAGTGACCACCATCATAGATCCTGATATTATTGGTCAATACATCATTTCGGAGCTATGATGCGATGCTGAAAATGCCGCAGCCTACATAACGCATCGCCGGTGCTGTGTCTCGTACGTCGGGTATACACACTCGTTTTGGGGTAAACTACGTGTGGCCATAACACATTCCGTCGCTGATAGGCTGTTAGAGCCGACCCCGCGAATGGTGTCGCATATTCTTCGCTGATGAGGGATTAATCTTGTCCAGATTCTTTTGGGCTTGCAACACAGCTCTGCATGATAGACCTTATCCTGGGGAAGTTGGTCACTATATAGAAGGGCGGCTGCCTGTCCATGCTTGGACCGATCTGCATTTGTTGGCATTTCGAGAGCATAGACACAGTAGATCCAGATATCTAGATCTTAATTTTGTCTGTTGGATGTCGCAATATGCTTAGAATGGGATGAAAGCACCATAGCCCCTGTGACATTAGTCGAGCACCTAGAAAGCTTCGAATATTCGAATAGCGGAACGATCCGACAATAGATTTAAGAACCCTGCAGCATGTAGAAATTGGCTTGTAGCCGTAAGCTTCCGCTGTTGCATAAGTGGATGCAGACTTCATATATGTAGCACTAGGTAAAAGTCGATGGGCGAATCGCGATAGACAACCTTGGCCGCATGCGGCGGCTGTACTTATTGTTTAAATGCCACACACAACTGCCTTATCAGCAGCTATCGTGCATGTCCTCGGTGTTCTCGGCCTATCAGACAGAACAGCCAACGATTGTGCTCGGCGGATGCCACCATCGAAAACCGCTTTCCGTTGTCGGACAGCTCGCCACAGTTAGCGGGTTCTTTTCCCATGTATGACACCTCGATCGACAGGCCAGGCCGCCAACAGGCAGCCGCAGTCATAGCACCCCGCATTATCCTTCCCCCCTCTCTTGGATCGGAAGTCGGCTGTGACAAAGTTTGGGCTAGCGCTACCACAACGCCAGCTGGGCTGAACACTGTAAACACCTCTGTAACACTGCGTCTCTGGTGCGGACTGTTGAGTATCAGGATGGGCGACGGAGATGACGACAACTCCTCATACAATCCCGTTACTGGCCAGGATATCACGAATTCGCCACATATCGCATCTTAAAATTAATCAAGGGGGGAGATAATGGTTCGGATGGATCGACAATCAGCGCCCCGGACGCGATTATCGCCTCCGCATAGACCTGCCCGATTGGGATAGATGACGGGGAGACTGACGATGATGATCTGGGATCGTATTCCAGGAGAGCTAGTGACAACTTGAAACCTCAATGCGACCTGCGAGTTGATAGTCATAACTGCCTTTTCAACAGCGCGATTATAGTAAACTGATGAGGTGGGATATCCCTATATTTGAGACTGGTTGAGCACGGCGACCGAAAGGCGGATAGGTCCAATGACCGTAGTAAAGCGATAATTGCTCGAGAATATGTCGCAGCTATTCAACCAGTATATGAGGCAAATATCACGACCACAGCCTGGCTGAGTGCTGCTCAGATAATTAGTTCCTCGGTCACTGCAACAGGCCTTTGGATGCCCGAAGCTGCCATCCCCACTTGGGAAGTCCTGCCGAGCCTAAAAAAACCAGCCCCCGCAAAAGTCAAAAGTCAAAGGCGGAAAAAAATTTCACTTATCGTCAACTTATCTATCTTGTCCACTCACGAGGATCTCTTCCATGACCAATTGATCATTAACTTGGTCATTATCATCTTGATAACCATCTTACCTTTCCAAACTAAGCATGCTGGCCTTGTGAGGGGAAGCCCGAGAATCCCCATGCCCTTGCGTCCTTAGACTTGTTCATATATGAACCGTCCCCTCAGCACCTGAAACCGGTTGTATGAATTTGCAGAAAATGGACAATTGGGTGCACGACTTGTCCATCGATCTCGTTGCTCTCCCGCTTGGCTGAATTGATTATTTGTGATTGTGCAATTTCTTCCAATTTGTCTCCGGATGCCGATGGACTTGGAAAACAACGGGCCGATCAAACCGATCCAGTCGGTCGACCAGAGCGTCCAAGATGCTCATGATCTTGCGGCCATGGGCCATGACCAGGCCATGACTCGAAAATTCGATATTTGGAGCATGTTGTCTCTCGCGTTTTGTGTCTTAGGTTAGTTCTGCCCGATCGTCGGAATTTTTCGTGTGCTCTGTGCGCGCTGCACCCACCGGGGCGCCAAGAACGGCAGCTAACCGTTGCGACCCAGGCACCTACTCTACTTTCGCGCAGGATTTAGATAGCGGACTCACCAATGGCGGCTCCGTGACCATTCTCTGGGGTCTCGTGCTGGTCACGGTCTGCAACTTGTGTGTCGCAGTTTCGCTTGGAGAGCTCACTAGTAGCATGCCGACCGCTCTGGGCCAGGCGTATTGGGTGTTTCGACTTTGGGACACCCCGTTGGGTCGATTTACCTCGTACATGTGCGCATGGATCAACATGTTCGGCTGGTGGACCTTGACAGCGTCCCAGGTTGCTTTCATGGCTGAATTTCTGCTGGGAATGAAAGTTATGTTCGATAATTCATGGGGCGGGGCCAGCACTGGATGGCTGAATTTCATCGTCTACATCGGTACAGTCTTGGTGTTGACTGTCATCAACCTAGTCGGCTGTAGGAAGGAAAAGGTCCTCCCATGGCTCAATAACTTTGTCGGCATATGGTTTACCGGCTTGTTCGTCGTCTTGTCACTTGCGCTGCTCATCTCCGTCGGTGTGAAGAAAGATCTCTCCTTCCAACCTGCGTCTTTCGTCTTTGGAGCTTGGCTGAACGAAACCGGTTGGGGAAACGGGGTCGTTTGGTTCACGGGCCTAGTGCAGGCCGCCTATGGTCTTACGGCTTTCGATGCCGTTATCCATATGGTCGAGGAGATCCCTGCCCCGCGTCGCAACGCCCCAAAAGTCATGTGGCTTTCCGTACTCATGGGGGCCATCACTGGTTTTATCTTCATGATGGTGTGCTTGTTTTGCATTCAGGACATCAACGAGGTTATCAACTCCCCAACCGGATTGCCGTTCATGGAGTTGATGGTGGAGACAGTAGGCCTGGAGGGTGGGGCCACACTCATCGCTTTATTCATCTTTAATGGCCTGGGCCAGGGAATTAGTATCCTAACGACCGCTTCTCGACTAACTTGGGGCTTTGCACGAGATGGTGGCTTACCTTGGAGCGGATACTTCATGCTGGTCGATCCGGTATGGAAGGTTCCGGCACGAGCACTATGGTTCCAGGGCTTTTGGATTGCATTGGTCGGAATCCTTTATCTGTTCGCCAACACGGTGCTCGATGCTATCTTGAGTGTTAGTACGATCGCTTTGACCATTTCATATGGTCTTCCCATTGCTGCCCTTCTGGTAGTCGGGCGCGATAAGCTGCCACCAGGCCAGTTCCATCTGGGACGATGGGGGAAGCTGATCAACTGGGTCAGCATCATCTACTGCATAATCACGACAGTATTCTTCCTATTCCCAGGGTCCCCAAACCCGTCACCTAGCGATATGAATTATGCGATTGCTGTGTTTGGAGTGATGCTGGTGGTCGCCGTTGGATTTTGGTTCGTTCAAGGAAACCGCACGTATTTGAAGACGGAGGATGCCATCGACCAGATGATTCAGGCACAGAGGCTTGAAATCAATACGGCGACGCAGGCGCAAGACAAGAAGAAATAGATCTTTGTATATAGTTTTCGAGTGTAATGACTACAATGACCTTCACTATTCTGTTAGCCAAGCTTGCATGCGTAGAAAGCAAATAAGTCCACTGGAACCCACTCGTGAGAAAAAGGCTTCAAAGATCGCCTACCGGTACTTTCTAAGGTCGAGACCAAACAATGTCACTCGAGGATCATCAGTAAGCAACATGTAGGATCGACAATTGCACGTTCTGCGGAGAGAGAGCAAAGAGTGTATGTAAGTCGGTGAGAATGGCCCATGACCCAAGTGGACGCGCCCTCCACGTGTTGTGCGCCATCACCCCACGTATGGCACCACTCCTCTCATGCCGATGTTCCTTGACTCTAAGAATACTTTAACTCCCCAGTGGTTCTTCAATAAGGCTGATTTCTCCCACCTGACCAGAATTTGCTAATGTTGTACTTGCTATCTCTTTAGATGACCCAGGCCGTTTTTTCCGTGGAGCAATTACCTGGTTGCTAATACATAACGATGCACCTACATTTCACAACTAGTCTTCCGAGATAGGAGTTTACGATATCTCCATGGCACGTGAAGACCAAGACAGCCAGATTAGGGAAAAATAAGATCGCTCAACAATCATGATGTGGCTAGCGTGTCTGCAGACCTATAATGGGAAATATTCTCCCTACTGCCATCGGATATATTACATTCTACCGGATATGTGAGCATAGGAAAGCGCGAACATACAGGTCACCCATCTATTGGTATCAGGCCGGAAGACTCGGATCAAGTATCCTGTTGTCATCGGTCGATTGAAGTTCTAGTTGATGACGTTGGGAGTTTAATCTCACATGAGTGTTACCCTTGAGAACAAAATATACACCTTGATGCACCCTGAATGCTGACACGGCTATGAAACACGGGAACAGGAACCGGATGGCCTAAAGGGCCCAGACCAGATTTGATTAGTGTTCCACAGCCTAAACAATCCCGAAAGTACCCACCTGCTAGCTGGTTATATCCGAGCCTTAGAAGGTTGTTCCTGGCCCTGAGGGGCTGTCCAGATAGCTTATCTACCGATAGACAGTGACGCAACGTACGTATGCATTACTTGCAGCCGGTCTTTAGACACCTTTGCGAGTAGTGGCCTGGATCCTTCAAAGCAAAAGAGCTGTGGTTGCTGCGCACCCTGGGATATGATTGATTCCAACCATACTAAACTGACTCGTGGGCTAAATCCGCCGAAGGCTCAGTAAGAGCTCTTGGGGCCTATTACCAGCTGGGTCTTGATGGCCTTAGGTCATCGCGGGCAATATTTCCAGACAGGACGAAGTTTGCAGCCCGCTATTGACGTGGTGCTGCACCTCTTGCTGCATCTCTATACCCGGGGCCATACCGAGAATATTCTGATGTGGACCTTATCTTATTTTTTAGCGAATGATATCAGCGGGAAGAGCTCATAGTGGGGATTTCGGTTTTACGGGTTCAAGATGCTCCGGGTATACGGGTTTACGGAGAACGCTTTTTCAGCAAACTGTCTCCATATTGGCTTTCTGCGAGAGAAAATATTGGAATATAACAGATTAAACGCCCACAGCTCTGATGACATCTAGTTGAGTACCTGAGCCAGACTGTCACGCAGGGCCCTGGTTTTGTGGACTGTGGTTCATAGGTATGCTTATCGGCGGGCTGCTGAGATCTACAACGGATATACTGACCGATTACCCCGTGTAGTTGTGACAAGTGGAATCATTGCTCAGGATGGACACTTCATCATCTTCAGGAACTGTGGACGTTGAGCCTGGGAACTCTTCTATTCCCAAGCAGCTGACGCTCACGTGGCGCAATGTTAGTGTGAACGTCACAGCCCCCGATGCCGCCCTGGGCGATACACTACTGTCAGTGGCCGATCCACGGCAGATTTCGGGGTGGTTCAGCAAGAGCCAAAGGCCAAAGAGGGTAGGTTTGAGACATTATCAAGCTCGGATCAATGCTAACAATTCTACAAGACGATTCTTAAGGACATCTCTGGTCAACTTCGGCCAGGAGAAATGGTAGGAGAAATTAAATGAGCAGATAGATTGACAGCTTACTGACAAGGCCTAGTTGCTCGTTCTCGGACGCCCAGGATCAGGGTGTACATCATTCCTTCGTGTAATCTCCAATGATCGCGAAGCTTTCGACGAAGTTGTCGGAGAGACTCGATATGGAAGCATGGACCACAAACAGGCCAAGAAGTACCGGCAGCAGATCATGTTCAACAATGAAGACGATGTTCATTTCCCTACTTTGACCGTTAATCGAACGATGAAATTCGCCCTTCGAAACAAGGTTCCCAGAGAACGACCCGAGCACCTGCACAATCGGAAAGATTACGTTCAGGAGAAAAGAGACGGAATTCTTGAGTCGCTGGGTATCCCGCACACAAAGAAGACATTGGTTGGAAACGAATTTATCCGTGGTGTATCTGGTGGTGAGCGGAAGCGTGTTTCCTTGGCAGAAGTTATGGCTGGCCAGGTATCGATCATCTCTCCATATGACATGAACATATTACTTACGACCGAAATTAGAGTCCTGTTCAATTCTGGGATAACCCAACTCGCGGTCTGGATTCCAAAACAGCGGTTGAATTCGCCCGCATGCTGCGACGCGAGGCCAACGAGAATCAAAAGACGATAATGGCTACCATGTACCAAGCTGGAAATGGCATTTTCGACGAGTTCGACAAGATCCTTGTCCTGGCGGAGGGTGTCGTTACCTACTACGGGCCGCGCGCATTGGCTCGGGGTTACTTTGAAGACATGGGATTCATCTGCCCCAAGGGAGCCAACATCGCCGACTTTCTGACATCGGTTACGGTGGTCACTGAACGGATTGTCGCCCCAGGTATGGAAGACAAGGTTCCCAATTCGCCCGCTGAGTTCGAGGCTCGTTACCGCCAGAGTGCGATCTACTCCCAGATGATGAATGATATCCAGCCGCCAGAGAAACTGGTAAACGAGGATGAGAACTTGGCTCTAGCAGTGGCAATGGAGAAGAGAAAGCAGCATGTTCCTCGACCTCAGAGTGTCTATACGGCTGGTCTGTGGGATCAGATCCTCAGCTGCACCCTTCGGTAAGCTACTTGAAACTGGAAGCATGGCGGAGAAACTGACATTTTCCAAGTCAATTCCAGATTTTGGCCGGTGACAAGCTTTCTATTGCCATTAAGGTGGTTTCCGCTATCTTACAGGCTCTTGTCTGCGGCAGTTTATTCTACAACCTTAAGCTAGACAGCAGTTCGATTTTCTTGCGTCCGGGTGCTCTCTTCTTCCCCGTTCTTTACTTCCTCCTCGAAACAATGTCTGAAACAACCGGATCATTCATGGGTCGACCTATTCTTTCGCGGCAAAAGAGGTTTGGCTTCTACCGACCGACAGCTTTCGCTATCGCCAATGCGATTACCGATATCCCTATCGTCTTGGTTCAGGTGTCCTGTTTCTCCTTGATTTTGTACTTCATGAGTGCGATGCAAATGGATGCAGGCCGCTTCTTCACGTACTGGATCATTATTATCGTGCAAACGCTGTGCTTCATGCAAATGTTCCGCGCGATTGGTGCCTTGTGCAAGCAGTTCGGTAATGCGTCCAAGATGACCGGATTTCTCTCAACTGTCTTTTTCGTCTACGGAGGTTTGTTGTGCCAAATACAACTATTTTGAAATTCTGCTAATCAGCACAGGATATCTGATTCCTTTTGAGAAGATGCATGTTTGGTTCCGGTGGATATTCTACCTGAACCCTGGTGCATATGCTTTCGAGGCGCTGATGGCCAACGAGTTTACGGGCCTGGAACTCAAGTGTGTCGAGCCTGACTATATCCCATACGGGTCGGGCTATCCTACCGGCTCTTCCCCTTACCGCGGCTGCACTGTCAAGGGTAGCAATTCGGAAGGCATCATTGACGGTGCCGCCTACATCAAAGAGCAGTACAATTACACTTATCACCATGTCTGGCGAAGCTTCGGCATTATCATTGGCTTCTGGGCATTTTTTATTTTTCTGACGGCGATTGGATTCGAATTGCGCAACAGCAGTGCCGGATCTTCCGTCCTCCTCTACAAGCGAGGCGCCAAAAGCAAGAAGCCAGACGAGGAGAGCAACGTCTCGTCTAAGTCTGAAGGAGCTGTCCTTGCACAGTCTGGAAAACAGTCCACGTTCACATGGAACAATCTCGACTACCACGTTCCTTTCCATGGCCAGAAGAAGCAATTGCTGGACCAGGTGTTTGGATATGTCAAGCCGGGTAATCTGGTGGCATTGATGGGATGCTCCGGTGCGGGAAAGACCACGTAAGTGCTAAGTGAAACGACAGAGTGATGCAAAGCTGATTGATATAGATTGCTCGATGTGTTGGCTCAGCGCAAGGATAGTGGTGAGATCTACGGATCCATTTTGATAGATGGTCGGCCACAAGGTATCAGTTTCCAGCGTACCACTGGCTACTGCGAGCAGATGGATGTCCACGAAGGCACCGCGACCGTGAGAGAAGCCTTGGTCTTCTCCGCGCTTCTCCGCCAACCTGATAGCGTACCACGCGAAGAGAAGATTGCATATGTCGATCACATCATTGATCTCCTGGAGCTGAGCGATATCCAGGACGCTTTGATTGGAGGTATGTGAGAACTCGGGACAAAGACTGATTGATTACTGACAAGACAGTTCCCGGGGCTGGTTTGAGCATTGAACAGCGGAAGAGAGTGACATTGGGTGTCGAACTGGTCGCCAAGCCAACGCTTCTCTTCTTGGATGAACCGACCTCGGGTCTAGATGGACAGTCTGCTTACAACATTATCCGATTTCTAAGAAAGCTCGTCGACAGTGGTCAAGCTGTGCTGGTAAGTCTATATGCCTTTACATATTGGCGTATCTCACATATTCCAGTGCACTATCCATCAGCCTTCAGCGGTCTTGTTCGATGCGTTCGACTCGCTAGTGCTGCTTGCCAAGGGCGGAAAGATGACCTACTTCGGAGAGAGTAAGCTTGCCACCCGCCTGTACGGACTGAATCTAACACTCCATTAGCTGGCGAAGAGTCACACAAAGTGTTGGAATACTTTGCGAAGAACGGAGCCCCCTGTCCTCCAGACATGAACCCCGCCGAACACATTGTGGAGGTTATCCAGGGTAATACCGAGAAGCCTATTGACTGGGTTGATGTGTGGAGCCGATCTGAGGAGCGCGAGCGCGCTCTTGCAGAGCTTGAAGCCTTGAACAAGGAGGGACAATCACATACCGATTATGTGGAAGACCAAAGCAACTTTGCAACCCCGGTTTGGTTCCAGTTCAAGATGGTGCTGCAGCGCCTCATGGTCCAGCTATGGCGGTCACCGGTAGGTTCCAAAATCATCTATGACTAGGGGCATTGACTGACGTTGATCAGGACTACATGTGGAACAAAATCATCCTGCACGTCTTTGCTGCACTGTTCAGTGGATTCACCTTCTGGAAGATGGGAGATGGAACTTTTGCGCTACAGCTTCGACTGTTTGCTATCTTTAACTTCATTTTCGTCGCACCAGGATGTATCAACCAGATGCAGCCGTTCTTCTTGCACAATCGCGATATCTTCGAAACCCGAGAGAAGAAGGTAAAGTCCTGCAGCAGTACTTTCATCAACGCTGGCTAACCGAAAGCAGTCTAAAACCTACCACTGGATCGCCTTCATCGGTGCCCAAGCAGTTTCCGAAATTCCCTACCTGATTATCTGCGCCACGCTCTACTTCGCATGCTGGTACTTTGTTGCCGGATTGCCTGTTGATGCGTACATCTCCGGCCACATGTACTTGCAGATGATCTGTGCGTACCCTTCCTTTGCAGAACTGAGCAGAACTGACTGATTTAGTCTACGAATTCTTGTATACATCGATCGGACAGGCCATCGCGGCATACGCACCCAACGAGTACTTCGCCGCCATCATGAACCCCATCCTCATCGGTGCGGGTATGATCGCTTTCTGTGGTGTCGTTGTGCCCTACGATAGTATTACGCCCTTCTGGCGGTACTGGATGTACTACCTTGACCCGTTCACCTACTTGGTGGGTGGTCTTCTGGGCGAGGTGCTCTGGGATGTCAAGGTGCAGTGCGAGCCTTCGGAGTATATCCAATTCAACGCCCCGTCCGGACAGACCTGCGGCCAGTACATGGCCGAGTTTATCTCCGAGCAGACTGGTTACCTCTTGGACGCGAATGCCACCGGCACTTGCTCGTTCTGCCAGTACTCGATGGGTTCGGACTATGCGAAGACCTTCAACTTGAAGGAGAAGTACTATTCGTGGAGAGATGTGAGTGTATCCTTGGTCAAAAATGAAACCAAATGCTAATTCATTGCAGACTGGAATTACGGCGCTGTTTTGTATCACGTCGTACGGATTGGTGTTCTTGATGATGAAGTTGCGGAGCAAGAAAACGAAGAGCGCACGGTCGGAGTAGACCACGACCACAAGATAGGATGTATTGATATTGATAGGAGAAGGGGAGGTTGGGGGGGAAGGGGAAGAGAGGCTTTGAAGGGAAGAGCCAGACAAGCATTCTTTGAGTAAATAGATACTAGATGATAGACCGACTGGATGCAGTCATATAGATACTACTGATTTTACTAGACTTTAATACAACACTACATCGTTTCTTTCTACTATCACATCCCTTCCACATAGACCTTAAACGTGATGGCTGGAACTAGTATGGTTGTTAGATCCAAGGAAGGCAGTGTAAACGCAACAATCGAAGTGAGCAGAATAGTGGCCAATGTGAACATATGAACAAGATTGCGAGGGGAGTACGAATTGAGGCATACCCAAACATGGTGTAAATCGTGTTGTAAGATCTAAATAGAGTATATATATAAATATATAGTAAGAGAAAGAAATTTAACTACTCAACCTGGCACGAAGAAAAATCCAACCCAACCAAACGAACCCAGGGTATATAATCAAGGCCAAATCCAAACACCTCCCAGAACCCCAAATCAATCAAAACCACACCAGAGCCAGCTGAGTGCCATCGCGCTTCACCAAAAATCCAAAATCAGAACCTAAATCTCGGCGTATCCACCTGGGACCTCACATAAGCCACATCCACCAACCTCCCCAAGATCACGTATTCCAACTTCAACTTGATACTATATACCAACGCCTTGAACGTAACCTGAAAGGTGAAAAACCCAGCATACTGAATCCCCACGACCGACAAATCCAACACAATAATCACCACATTAACCAACAACAACTGCACCAACACACTCCTGGACAACTCCCCACTATCCATGCGCAACATCCTCGCCGTCTCCCTGATGTACAAACCGGAGAGCAACAACTCCTGCGCACAGAACCACACCAACTGCACGCGCTCCATAATTCCAAATGCAACATTCACCGGCTCAGAGTCCGGCATCGCATTAACCGCCAGTTCCAGCCCCTCACTCGCGCAATGCAGCAGCACCCCGTCGAAGATAATCAGGTAGAGCAAACCCCGTAGGATTTTCTTGTGGTGCAGCACGAGGTGCAGGCGCGACCAGAGCACGAGCGATTGTCCTGTAACCATGCCGGCCCAGCCGACTCCCACTATGGAGATCTCGAGGAAGTAGTTGGTGAAGGTGAGACCGAACATTTTGAGGAGGTAGCCGAGGCTGAAGGGGATGATGGAGATGGAGGCGATCAGGAGGGACCAGAAGTAGGTGCCGGTGTAGCGTTTGAAGGTGTTGAGGCAGAGGATAACCAACTCGATGGCATTGCACCAGGAGAGGGCGATGAGGATGGGGAAGACATATTCTTCGACGGTGGTGTTGAGGTGTCGGGTTAGGCCGGTAGGGGACTGGGTTGCGGCGTCGTCAAGGGTGAAATGGGGCATTAATAGGAGGCATTGATGGGGGAGGTAGTAGATATTATGTACGGATGGATTGAGAGAGGCGATAATGTGGAGGTGGAGGTGGAGATAGGGATGGTTACAGAGCACAGCATAGCAAGAACTTGTGTTGCACTGTAATCTGGAATGAGGCGAAGTTGGTAGTCAGTAGAGTTCGTCGCAAAGTTGTGGCGCCCGATCTGGCAGGCGAAAGGAACGGCTGTGATTTGATCGAGAACGGCCAATTGCGTCATGGATGTCGGCAGTTAAGGCGGCTGTCATGCGCTAATTGGTTGGAGATACAGGGATGCGGATATTGCAGCCAATCAAGGTGGACTCAAACTGCTAATCTATCCTTATTCTGATTAGCTGCGTCGGTTAAAAGAAACGTGGTGATTGGTGGATGATTGCAGTCGGAACGGTTCTGTCCGATAAGGCAACCCCTGATATTCCTGACGGTACTGTACTAGTACTACTAATCTTGGGGATGTGTTTGGCTTGTTTGTCCTGTTTGCTCAGGGACTCGTCGCGTGCTCAGTCTGGGATAGCTCTTTCTTTCCTTACTGCCTGCAGACGCGACAGCCATGGCCATGCTGTGGTGGATTCGAGGCTGAGATTGCCGACAGCTGCCTCGGTAGCTCTTGCCTCTCGAGGCAACAACATTTAATAGCGTACGGAGCTATTCCCCGCCACTAACTCAATGGAGCTGGGGACAAACCATCATTCTTCCTCACTGGTTCTACTGCCTCTCAAGCTTCCGCCCCCGACGTGTCAGCACGCGTGACAATCATGATTCCCACCAAGAGGATGGATTTGACCGGGCGGAAGCCCCTCTATCGCCTCTCCGCTACTCCTGCGCCTCCTACCACCCCGCAGACCTCGAATGTGAAGCCCGCAGCCCAAACACCGACGCATCCTCCGGCACCGCAGTACCAGCCATGGCAGCAAACTCCTCCGCATCCATATCCCGCACTGTCACCTCATGGACAGCCTTCGCAAGTCCTCTCACCGTACAATGAAACCAATCATGGCACCGACATGCAGGCTGCGCGACGACGCGGACGAATGCTATTCGAAAACGAACTCATCATCCTCTTCAAGGGCTGTATCGAGCGGAAGGATATGTACCTGACCAACCCGAACCGAAACGCATTTTGGGACAACGTGGCCGGGTATATGAACAGCTTCACAGGGCGGAATTTCTCGCCCCCGTCCTACCAGCAGATCGTGACGGACCGAAGCATCGAGCGTCGAACGCATCGACGCGACATCGCAAATGGAAAGGCCCACGTGGAGCCCCCCAACGCCCTCACGACTGTGATCGATCAGTGGATTGCGATGGAGGATGATATACTAAAGCAGACGAGCGAGAGCGAGTTTCTGTCGCAGAAACGGCCCGCACCGGACGACCCCAGTACGCAGGATGCCAACCAGGCTAAACGATTGCGTCCGCATACGGCAGATGCTCCCCAGGCCACCCCCTCGAGTCCTTCTCAAGTGCGTCGCGAGGTGGACGGGAACAGCCTTGCCCGAGCCTTGGTGCACGAAGTACGAGATCTACGGCGGGAGGTGGAAGAAGTCCATCGGAAACTGGACTTGGTTTTGGAAACGCTCAAAGCGGTGAAAGAGAGTCCGGATAATGTGAACTCCGAGGAAAGATGATTCTCTCACAGTCGATGGCTGTTGAGCTCGGACGAAAATGCCAATTCAGGGTGTGTGAGGCATACGATGCTCGGTCGGTCGTTGCGAACGGCCGAGACCGCTCGGCCCCTCATTCCCCGCATCCAATACGAAGATGAGGCTATTTAACTGAGCCTGACACAGAAATGTGTATAGCGACCCATCCGTACAACTTTTATCAGCAACTTTATCAGCTATCATGGCTCCTACATTCCGTGCAGAACAAATCGGCTCGCTGATGCGGCCCGAGGAGCTATTAGCTGCTCGCAATGCCGCCGGATTGGCGCACATCTACACTCGAACCAACGTGCCGGAGGGTGTGCAGCAAGTGACAAAACAGGCGATTGCCAAGGTGGTGGAGCAGCAGCAGGCGCACAAGGTGCGCCCAATCATGACCGGAGAGTTTGAACGGCCGATCTTCTACGCTGGGTTCTTCGAGAATCTGGAGGGGCTTGAAATGACCAAGGTCCCCATTCCGGACGGTTACCGCACGGGGCTCCCGACCGTGCAGACGCTCGAGAAGCTGGGCGTCAAGGAACGGGATGCCTGCATCGCTGTGGGCAAGATTCAGCACGTGCGCAGCCCGTACCTGGCCGACTGGGAGTACCTACGGAGCCTGGTGCCGCAGGAACAGTGGAAGGAGTGCAAGATGAGCATGCCATCTATTACCTGGCAGCACCAGCATTTGCGTGCAGGGACCGCGTTCACGGCCTCCAGCCCGTACACTACCGACAAAGAGTACTTTGCGGACCTTGCAAAGGCGTTTGCACGGGAGTACCAGATCCTTTACGATGCGGGACTACGCTCTATCCAGGTGGACGATCCCGCCATGACCTTCTTTGTGACGGACGAAATGCGATCGGGGTGTGTGGCAGATGGGATTGACCCGGACGAACTATTGGACCTGTATATCTGGGCGCACAACGAAAGTCTCCGGGACCGACCTGCAGATCTTCATGTCGGAGTTCACCTCTGCCGGGGCAATATGCCCGGGTCGACGCACGTGCTTAGTGGGTCGTATGAGCGGATTGCGCAACGCATGTTCACGGGACTCAACTATGACACGTTCTACCTGGAATACGACACGGAACGAGCGGGCGACTTCCAGCCGCTGCGACACCTGCCAGTGGGCAAGAACGTGGTGCTGGGAGTGGTATCGACGAAAGCCCCGGAATTGGAGACGGTGGAGGAGCTGCAGGCGCGGGTGTATGAAGCGGCGGATGTGATTGCGCAGGGGCAAGGCCGAAGTCGGCAAGAGGTGCTCGATAGCTCGCTTGGGGTGAGTCCGCAGTGTGGTTTCTCAAGTGTGAGCTATGGTCGGGGGATTGGAATGACGGAGACGCGCATGTGGGAGAAGCTACAGTTGGTGCAAAAAGTAGCCGAGCGGGTGTGGCAGTAAGCTGCAGTAAGCTGCAGGGGGGATGGCCAGGGATGGTATGTGTGTATACATTCGTCACTACTATATTCAAGCGTACCGGATATACTATGTAGTGTTGAAGGAATGCATGGCTGTCAGGCACAGCAGATTGCATGATCCACCACTGCTGTCAAGTAGCACGGCATGTTGGCCTGCACGTGGCTGAATTGTTGGGTTCCGGACATCCGCGATGATCCTTAACCAATTTATTCTGTGCATAAATGCGGGTAGATGAACACCCGCACGGCAACTCTCTTCCAGCCGAGCTTCAATGTGACCCGTCTGCCGTCCATCTGGACAGAATCTATATAGCTGGGGCCCGGCACGAGTTCCATATCCATTTAGTCCCCAATCTATTGCTCACTTCACCCGCCAATCAAGCGTTCCATTCCCACCATGCACTTCCCTCTCGCAGTGCTGGCTCTGCTTCCCCTCACCATCCACGCCATCAACATCATTTCCTCCAACGATGATGGCTGGGCCGAGCTCAACATTCGCACTTTGTACAACGCGCTCACTGCGGCCGACCACTCGGTCGTGATATCTGCGCCCGCAGAGAATCAAAGCGGAACCGGTAATTCCATGCCCAACTCTCTACCTTGATATTCTACAACGGATAAACTAATCTAACCAATACAGGTTCCGACGACGCAACACCCACTCCCCTGACCTCCCCTGCGAATTCGACTCTTGTCCCAGCGGCAGCCCCGCCGTCGGCCACAACTCCAGCCAACCACGCTTCAACTACGTCAACAGCTACCCAGCGACCTCCATGAAATATGGCCTCAACAACCTCTCCTCCACCTACTTCTCCGGCTCTCCCGACCTCGCCGTCGCCGGGCCCAACGTAGGCGCTAACCTCGGCCTAGCCGTCTTCTTCTCCGGCACCGTCGGCGCAACCACCTACGCCGCCAACCAAGGCATTCCCGCAATCGCCTTTTCCGGATACACTGGCTCCCAGATCGCCTGGAACGTGAGCAGTGTTCCCACGTACAGTACTGTATATGCAGAGCTAGCGACGAAGTTGGTAGATGAGTTGGTGGAGTCCGGAACCCCGTACTTGCCCGAGGGGGTGTGGCTGAATGTGAACTTTGGGGCTGTGAGCGATGATAGTTGTACGAGTGCGGATGATTTCGAGTTTGTGTTGTCGAGGCTCTTTACGGCGATTCCGTTGATTACGGCGGATGATGTGGAAACCTGTAATAGTACACGGTTGCCCACGGAGTTGAGTGTTATGCTCCAGGATGGATGCTGGGCGAGTGTGTCGGTGGGCATGTCGGGGGATAAGTTGGATGCGAATGCTACGGTGCAGGGGGTGGTGTTGGAGAAGTTGGGGGGATTGTTGACTTGTTTGGATTAATTCACTAATCGTGAATGTACATAGTACATAGTATATAGCCTATAGTATAGTATATAGTATGGTATATCTTATGGTATGTAATATACAATAGGCGGAGAAGCATGTGCAGCCCTATATTCGCATATATACGCCTGCAGGAATGCGTGGTCCAAGCACAGGCCATTATTGGTTGAAAAATACGCTCTCCGACATTCCGTGTCTATATGTTAATATGCGCTACTATTAATCTATTCAATTCTCAATTCCCCTCACCGCTGCTACCCTGTTCTGCCATAAACCAACATCCTCCGTGCCTGTCAGCACTATCCATACCCGCATACGCATCCAGCTGATCCTTCACAGAATTAGGCATAACCGCCGAGCAGCAACCACATGCTCTGCTGTCCTTCCTATCGCCCCACCGCTACCGTTCCTCTGCCGATCTCTGAAGATACTTGCCTATAGTAGAGATGGACATAAAAGGAGCTCCCCTTTCCCCTCATCCTCATGCCACATTCTCCAAACTGAACACCCAAAACAAAGGAATAAGTTAAGGAAAAAAAGAGAGACCAACACAATGTCCCTCCGCACCCTCCTCCTCGCCGCATCAACCCTCTCCGCCACCGCAGCAGCAGGAAAACACCGCCTGCACGCGCGCGACTGGATCGCCAGCGACGAAATCGTCGGCTTCAACCAGACCGTCCCGGACAACTCCACCGGCGACCTCTACCTCGCCTACCAGCCCTACCTGAAGGTCGTGAACGGATGTGTCCCGTTCCCAGGTGTTGACGCCGAAGGCGATACCGAGTATGTTCCCTACCCCCCCAATACCTCCCCTACTACTTTAATATCCCCCCAAGAAAATCCTCCTAATAAGCGATAAACAATGGAATAGTGCCGGCCTCGCCCCCACCGGCGCCAGCGACGGCGACTGCAGCTCGAACACGGGCCAAATCTACGTGCGCAGCAACATCACCTCCACCTCCTCCACCTCGACCTACCCGACAGCACTGCTCTACAGCTGGTACATGCCCAAAGACGAACCCAGCGACGGTCTCGGTCACCGACACGACTGGGAGGGCGTGATCATCTACCTGTCTGACGCGACCACCATCTCCGCGGATAATATCTTGGCTGTGTGTCCGTCTGCGCATGGCGGGTGGGATTGCTCCACGGATGGGTATACCCTTGAGGGTACGAAGGCGCTGATCAAGTATGAGAGTATCTGGCCGCTGGATCATAGTTGTGGGTTGACGGATGTGGTGGGTGGTACGCAGCCGTTGGTTGCGTGGGAGAGTTTGACTACGGCGGCGAGGGATGCGTTGCAGACGGCGGACTTTGATAAGGCTATTGTGCCGTTTAAGGATAGTACTTTTGATGAGAATCTTGCGAAAGCTACTTACTAGTTTTTTACTAGTGAACTAGGGTGATGGAGGGGGAGGGGAAGTGGGAGGGTGTTGTAAATACTTTGTGGTAGTATATATATATGAAGTTATATTTGGGTAGTAGTGGTCTGACTATGTGCTGGGTATCTGTCATGAGTTCCTTGAGGGATTAGATGTAATGTGAGTGTGTTTGTGAAGGGTTCTGATTTATATAGGATACGGCTAGTTTTAATAGTATCTACTAGAGTAAGTTCTATTTATGTTTATTGGGAGGGCGTATGAGGCAAGTCATTGTATTTAATACACTAAGCAGCATAGACTAGCTATTGCCGATAAGAGTGAATCTGTAAAATAAGGCTAAAGTACTACTTAAGCACTAGCAATGCACTGGTAGTAGTAAGGGTTGTACGAGTGGCAGCTAGATCCGCTCGCGCACTGAGTAGCACCAGTCCAGTTGATACCACCGCACTGGCCGTACAGAGACTGACTACCGGAGCTACCGGAGGCAGCAGAGCTAACAGCCGGAGCAGGGGTGATAGTCGACTGAGCAGGCTCGGGCTGGACCGAGGTAGTAGGCTGCACAGCCTGGGGAGTGTTGGTGAAGGTCAACAGGGTAGTCCAAGAAGAGGGGACCTGCACGGGGATCTGAGTGTAGGCGGAGGAGCTGGAGCTAGGGGCAGCAGGGGCAGGGGCACTGCTGGACTGAGCGATCTGGGTGTTGGTGTCAACGCTGGTCACGGCAGCAGCGCTGGTAGCGGCGGCAGCGGTCGAGGAAGCGGAAGCGACGGCGCTAGCACTGCCAACCACGGCGGTGCCGGTGGAAGTGACAGCGGAAGTAGTCTGAGTGATGGAGACATCGCCGCTGTAGGCAGTAGGGCCGGGCATAGTGTAAGTGCTCAGGGAGGAGTAGATGTTGACGAGGATACCGCCCTCAGTGGCAGTGTAGAGCTCGGTACCCTTGACACCGGAGGGAGTGGCGGTACCGGTACCGGTGACCTGGAGGTTGAAGCACTGGGGGTAGTTCTGGGCGCCGTCCTGCTCCTCAGCGCCGTGGAGAGCGATGAGCTCGTGACGGAGGACGTAGTTACCAGCGGCAATGGAGGGAGGGATCTCGACCATCCAGCTGTTGTTGTTGTTGATCAGCTGGTCGGTACCCCAGGTACCGGGGACCTCGGTGTCGCTGACGAGACCGACGCCGTCGATCTTGAAGAACTCCAGGTCGGTTTTGTCGACGGTCTCGCAGCTGCCGTCACAACGAGCCAGGTAGTCCAGGACGGGACCGTGGTGGGAGTCGGGCCAGGCAGTCCACTGGATGTTGATCTTCTCACCGGCACCGACGACAACGTGGGCCTGGGCGTTGGTGGCGTTCTCGTGACAGATGATGTTGGGGTTGCGGTACTCGTCGGGCGAGATGAAGCCGTTACCGGTGTTGGGGGTCGTCCAGGCGGCGACCTTCGGGGGGTCGGACTCGTAAGGGAAGACGCTGATGTCGAAGCCCTCGTAGTAGACACCGTCGACGACGAGGTTAGTGACGTGACCGTGGGCAGCGACCTGGGTGGCCGACAGAAGGGCCGCGAGGAGAGAAGCAGACTGAGCTTGACGCATGATTGCTAGAGTGGTTTTTGGAGAAGGAAAAGTTTGTAGAGAATGTAAAGTAATGTATGTAGAGTGTTTGTAAAGAGTGAGCGCGCAGCGCAAAGAGTGTGAAAGCCTCAGTCAATGAAGCGGAAAGCAACGAAGGGAATGAAGATGAAAGAGAAGACTTGCTTGAGGGAGGAAAGGAACAGCAGCATGGTCGAGGAGCAGCATGGCTTTTAAATCTTCGTGTCGCCCTGTCAATACTCGCAGATGCTTTACCTGTGTCACATCTCAAACCGCGGCTGGAGCCATGACACCCACCCAGGAGTCTGGTCTGACCACCGCCCTTGATTGCGGGTCCGAATTGGGCCTTTGGGAAGCGCTGGAGCAATTAAGGTGAGGGCAAACGGCGGTAGGGCAGGGGCAAGTGTTCCAGATCCGTCTGATATTAAGGCTATTACCCGACTAGGGTCTTGGCTGTCGGAGAGTTTCCACTCTGGCCTCCCAACGACCTTCTGTCACCTTTTTCGAGCATATGTCTTGTCGGTTTCACTCATAGTTCGCTTATCATGAAGAAGCTTTTCTCAATTAACAGCTCAAGAACAGATGTTCAACTGTAGATGAACGCTGCCAGCGTGGTTAAAAATAGCAGCCGAATGCCCGCCACCCACTGCGGATCCGGCACTAGCCACCGAAGAACTAGTGTATCCCTAACTCGATGATAGCTCATCGGATAAATGCTGGTCCAGACTCATATAAATTAAGTCTGCCCTGACTGGTCGTCCCCACCAATCACGCCCCTTGATGCTGAATAGCCGCCGTTCCTGCAGCACTCAGTCCCTGCCAATTTTCCACCAGACGCCCGCCACCACATCTATAGGAAATCCTCTGTATTCTCCAATAACATCCATTAGTGGACCATCATCTTGCTTGGGATGATAGTATAGCTGAAGCGTATTCGTCAGCAAATTCGGTTGCCTCGCCTTGTTTGGCAACGCTTTGGCCGGCCAGGGTCCACGTCGGAGTCTGCTCCGTGCAAGCACAGCTGTGTACGGAGTACCCTGCACTAATCTCCAGTCCCTGATCGCGGAGGTGTATGGTAATTCTGCCATCACCATCGCATATCAACACAACCTCAACCACAGCATACTACCATGCTGCAACACCAAGACCGTGCGACTACCAAGCAACTTTAACATTGTTAAACAATTAACCTTAAGTGAGACATAACGGCAACGTTGAATGACTCGCCATGGTAGTGAGCCCTTGGCAAACCGGGTCAAGTGTGGGCCCTGAAACAAACCTGTTTATTAAAGGCCACCGCATTGTTAAGATACATCACCTGCACAGCCTGCTTTCCTGATATAACCCTGGTCGGCATGGCAGTAACTACTGGCTCTGAGTAAGCGGGGCTGCGCGGAATTGAACCAATATGAGCTACTTGTAAGGCTGGATTTAGCTAGACCTGCTGGCATCGGATGTTCGGGTCGGATATAAGGGCATATTGCAGGGGCTCTGGCAAGTCTCGGAGCGGGGATCTGACCTCGTTCGGGGACATTTATTGGCTGTCGCATGCGTCATCAGTATACCCAGGAGCATTCAAGCGCCGTGCTTACGACCTGTCATATCACTGCAACGACTTCATTATCACGAAGTACCTGAAAATATTGGCAACGGAATTAATACTATCAGGCATGAGAAAACCGCATCAATGCAGCCTAAGCCAAAAGAGAAATAGAAGAAAATACGAAGGAATAAGAAGAAAAAGACAAGAAAAAAAAGAAATAGAGAATAAAGGGGAAAAAAGAAAGAAGAACCACCACTGTCAATCACTCGTCGACCCATTCCAATCCGGCTCCAGGGGATGGTGGCACCCGGCGAGATAATGACATCTTCAGCAATGTCTTTCTGGATCCAAGCATCTCCAGGTTTTCGTCGGGTTGAGTCTGGGTAAGAATAGATCCCCATTAATGAGACAGATGTCCCACCATCCTAGTTCCCTGAGTCGCTACAATATTTCCACAAAAGCCTCTTTGTGTCAAACTTGCTGCTAACGGATGACGGCGCGCATCAACTTCGTGTTATTACTGCCAGGCATTATGGTAGACAAAGACACGATCTAGTCATGCTCTTGCATTAAACTCTTCAAAATTGTCTAGACGCTCATCAGGCAGAGCGGATGCAGCCTGCAGGACTGATAGAGTAGTATGACCAATTTAAGCGGCTCGAGCTGGTCGGCGAGGACCATGCCAAGGGCCAATGCACAATTGATGTAGTGGTTACCAAGTAGATTTTGGAACAGCTGATCCATTACACGTTGGATGCCCTATCTGCCTACTATTGCTCATTGAAGCTGAAATTCTCCTCATTCTGTATCACTATTCTGTAAGGAATATCTATATAAATTTATTGAGAAGAGGTACATAAATAATGAGAACCCCTTTCAAAAAACACCGTTCTTGATGAGCTTGTTTCTACCATATCAGGTGGCTAATGTGCCATGATGTTGGTACTCCTATTTGCTAGTTCTGTACAATATACGAGTAGCAATTTAGCGCTATGATTTCCTATGCAATGAAACGGTCATAGACCTTTATGCAACGACATGGAGATCCCGTGCACTCCTCAGATGACCCAAACCGACACCTCACCAGCCTGGAGATATGCTCAACCATCGTTTGCGGCAAATCCTGACCCGACCGACCATTGGTTTGTTCTTGGCCGGGGTGCTCAGACGGCACTCTCTGGGCGCCAAGCTGCCGAGAGTCGTTCAAGCCAGCGGAGGTTGCCAATTTCTCCGCCGAACAGCGGGTAAAACCTGGGGAGACAATTCTGTTAAAATCGCCCGCGCATATATCCCCAGATATACGAGGTTGCCGGGCAAGGTCGAGCGGAGGGTTACACTCTGCTACACGTACTCTCAACGAGATTCACGCCTCAGTGGCGATGTCGTGCAACAACGTTACAGACCATGGCCTCCCCAGCCTTAGGAGCCGCTTTCAGTGCCCCTCCATCTTGGCGTGAGTTTCTAATAAACTCAAATAGGGTTGGGTATGGATGGAATGATAACCCCGGAAGTTGTCTGTATGGATGTGCCATGCATCCAAGATCTCGGCTTATGTAGTCCAAGACAAAGACTGTTGCGTTCACTGAAGTCCAAGGCTCTTGGGTCGGATGCGTGAGACCAAATACTTAAACCTTAGAATGAGATTGGCTGTCGCATTAACGAGCCTGGAGCTACACTTTGACGTGAATGGAACAAGTCATTTCGGCTGCAATGGGCCCGATAGATCAGAGGATACAGGCCTTCATGGACACCGGGGTTTAAATATGCCATCATGGCCCGGGGAACTTTCGTAGAGGCATACCATAACCGCGCCTTGCTCACTTCGGATATCCACACAACAGACCTCCGTAACGAGCATTTAGTGCAACTGCACTCCCTGAAACCAGTATGGGTGACAAGAAAAGAGACCCAGAGAACCCCATCTCTATGGTTCACCATCTTGAATCACCCACCTCCAATGAAAAGCAAGATCCAGAGGTGGCCCGAAACTGGACACGCGAGTTAACCGAGAGCAAGGATGCCACCACATCCACAAAATTGAAGAACCCGCTCGCTGGCCTGACGCGAGATGAGCTATTTCGTGATGTCGAGTCATTTGCAAGGGACAAGGGTTTGGAGCATATCATGGATGAGCTGAAAAGAGGCTCTCTTGTAGCGCAGGATCCTAAAGCCTTCGAGTCCCTTGAAGAATTATCCGAAAGTGATAAAGAACTGCTTCGTCGTGAGAAGACACATCGATGGAGCCAGCCGTTCATGATGTACTTCATGACAAGTACGTCTTTTCCAACAAAGTTTGACACAACTGGAGGCTCTAACAAATACTAGTTCTCTGTGCTGGGTCCGCAATCGTCCAGGGCATGGACCAGACGGCAGTGAATGGAGCACAAGAGTAAGTTATGTACTGTCACGGGTCCTTTCTATAAGCTGAGTACATTCAGGTTTTACTTCGCTGAGTTTAATCTCACCAATACCTGGCAGCAAGGGCTCCTGAACGGAGCTCCATACTTATGTTCTGCGCTTATAGGATGCTGGACAACCGCCCCTCTAAACCGTTGGTTTGGTCGTCGTGGATGCATCTTCATCTCATGCTTGATCTCCTTTGCCTCGTCATTTTGGATGGCTGCAGCACACACTTGGTGGAACCTACTCTTAGGACGGTTCCTCCTCGGTTTTGCAGTAGGTGCCAAGTCAACAACGACTCCAGTATACGGAGCGGAGTGCTCTCCAGCTATAATTCGTGGGGCTCTGGTTATGATGTGGCAAATGTGGACGGCTTTCGGGATCATGCTTGGATATATTGCTTCCGTTGCCTTCATGGATGTGACGCACCCCTCAATCCCCGGTTTCAATTGGAGATTGATGCTTGGTTCAACCGCCATTCCGTAAGTTTACACATGCCTACCTTCTGCACATATACCAGTGGTGCTAACAGTGATGAGTCCCTTCTTCGTATGCATGCAGGTGTATTTCTGTCCCGAGTCACCTAGATGGTATATGATGAGGAATCGCTATCAAGACGCTTACAAAGCACTTTGTAAGCTCCGTCCTTCTTCGTTTCAGGCTTCCCGCGACCTCTACTATATCCACGCAGCATTGCAGGTGGAGGAAAAGCTCCGGGAAGGCAAACACCTCTGGCGCGAAATGTTCACCGTCCCACGCAATCGACGCGCCGCGCAATCCTCGTTTTTTGTCATGTTTATGCAGCAATTCTGCGGAGTCAACGCTATCATGTATTATTCGAGTTCAATGTTCGCGGATGCGGGTTTTGATAGGCGAATGGCGTTGGTGACGTCATTGGGATGTGGTATAACGAACTGGATATTCGCTCTCCCGGCAGTATACACGATAGACACATTCGGAAGGCGGAATCTCCTCCTCACCACATTTCCACTGATGAGCTTGTTTCTGCTCTTTACCGGGTTTTCATTCTATATCCCGGACCAGACATCGAGGACCGCTTGCGTGGCGACAGGCATCTATCTCTTCATGGTGGTGTATTCCCCAGGTGAGGGACCAGTGCCTTTCACGTACTCTGCTGAAGCATTTGTAAGTCAATGTGTATCAACTTTGGAGAAGGGTCCTTGCTAAACATTACTCAGCCACTCTATATCCGTGATGTAGGCATGTCCTTTGCGACTGCGACGACCTGGGGTTTCAACTTTATTGTCTCACTGACGTGGCTTCCATTGCGGGACGCCTTCAGCCCACAAGGAGCCTTTGGTTGGTATGCAGCGTGGAACGTCTTCGGATGGATCTTTTGCTACTTCTGTCTACCTGAGACCAAGGCGCTATCACTTGAGGAACTGGACCAGGTCTTTTCGATTCCGACAAGAAAGCACGTCAATCACTATGTGGGAATGCTGCCGTGGTATGTGAAGAAGTATATCTTGCGAGGAGACGTGCCGCCTCAGAAGCAGTTGTACGATTATGAGTAGGTGGAAGTGGAGTGAAGGTTGAATGAGGTGAGGTTGAGGATAAAGTGAGAGACATAAGAGGACGGGAATACGCTAACCCTTATTTGGTAATTAGTTGCCTCACCAGGCATCCGTCGACACTACGATGGGTTACTGTTTTCTGGCTTCAGTTTTGGTACATTTGTCCTCCGAGTATATTTTATCGTTATGTTTTCTATATATAAATGCTACAGAATCATGAAGGCCGACGGTATCGGCTTTCCAGGATCCTGACCGACCGGCCAAGTATTTTTGACTGGAGTCACCACAAGGAATCATAAATGTTGTGTGTAACACATGCACGCCTATATAGCATATGATACACAGCAACTTGGATACTACTAGTCTGATAGATAGCAAAACCACTTGCAAGCCGTGAGAAAAAGGACTACCACCTAATCACAAGGCGGGGGAAAGTCCGTCGCATAGTTATCTCCGTAGAAATTGAATCCAACGACAGCGTCCAGCCCATCCACACTATATGCATCCGAGCAGAAACTGAAAGTTCCCACTTGGCTGGCTAGCCACAAACTGTGCTGCTCCCGAAGCTGCGCCCTCTAAGCCCGTCTGCGTCTTCGTTCCGTATCCACTCGGCTCGGTCCACGAGAAGTCGATTTCCTGCACATAAGAAGTTGTAGCTCCCGACTCCAATACCTTCGCGGCGAGATCCTCGGAAGGACAATTATCGGTGCAGGGCATATTATAGAATCCTTAGGTGCGGGCATGAATCCGACCGTCAGACAGCCTTCTGACCGTCAGGTTGACGGGTTGGTTGACGGCGTGGACGAAGTGCCAGTCATGCGTTAACGCAGTAGTATTGATGAAGCTGTGGACAACGCCCTCGTGGGTGATATGGTTGAAGGCAATCGAACCCTCGTCTCGTTTGGCAGGAGTCATAGCACCTGTCTTGCCGCTTTCGCCATGTACATGCATAACTGCATTGATGCCGACTAGCAGGACGGCTGCAATGCATCCAGTGCCGGCACTGGCAGGGAGAAAGTAACCGCAGACCATCTAGGCGACACCTGACATTGCGGAACTGGCCTTAACGTACCATGTAAAGCCAGCACCAGAGGTCGGGTCTGCCTGCATCAGGAAGACGAAGACTGCCGTGAGGGTCGCCAAAAGGCTTCTCTGTTGCGTTGGTGCCATTGTTGTAGACCACGTAGATCGAGGATCGGTTCGAGGACACGTAGGAATTCTCTGAATGTAAGAACAAAGATGTAGCAGGCAACTGCTTTGATCAGTAGTGCAAGGGCTTGTTCGAGCTCACTCTGCATTTTCAAGTGTTATGAGTTAGGGGCCGCAAAATAGATATAACAGACAACTTCCTGTTGTATAGAAGAGTGGCTTTATATGGGCATCATGAGGGATAAATGGATTAATAAAGTCTCAAAATGCGATTGCGATATATCCGATGGAACGCCCTAATTCATCGCGCGGGGTAAGTGTAGGCCAATTCGTTCAGTAGGGTTACTTTCGCTCTATTGATTAGGGGCCCCTGTATCTCCCCGTATCTCCTTCTATCACCCCTGGACATAATGACTTCATCGCACTTATTTTCTAGACCTGTTCCATAGACAAGGGTCGCTTTATCCACTCTGCAATCCAATTCGTCCATCAAAAGGAACATCAAATTTCGTAATATTGAATGTGGGCCAAGTTAATGGCTCCGATTGGGCTCTCTTGGCAGGCGGACAGGGAAGTAGATCACATCACGCAGGGACTCCCCCACTAGTATAAGTACAGTAGCTTCGTTCCGGCAGTCGATGCATATGTTAGAGACCGAAGGTGATCACATGGAGCAGGTCAAAGGTCCACTTACTCCACTATTGTCTGTGAAGCAAGCTGCTGGCGACTTGCTAAAGTGACAGGGAAGGCATTCCAAGCGGAACTACCCGACAACATGGACTTTCTTGATTGCATGGGTTTCACCGTCTACCAACTCAACTCAACCCAACCCTGCGTACTGCAGCTGTTCACAAGTAGAGCTCTCCGGATGTTACATTGAGATAAGCTGGGTTAATAACTTTGCCTTCGCATGCAACCAGTCCGCACTAGATGTAGTCCGAGTTCAATGTTTTGGGTTTACTGATTTACGAGAATAAGTCTTTGAAAACATGCCAATACACTTAGAAGCAGTTGCTGTGATCTTAATTGATAGATTTAAATTATATTTAAAGAAGTTCAAATCGTCGGACGACGATTTATACCCAAAGAAAGCAAGGCCAAACAGGGGGAAAATTTGACGCCAACATTATCCGGATTAAAGGGTTGGAGATGTAAACTACTGAACTGGGGCTTCCTTACCTCTTTCACTTCCGAATTGGGCAGAATGATCACTGGCCCACTCGGACCTTATGGCTAGCGAGCATCTGACGGATCATAGCCATAGTAGTTGAGTTTTAGGTTTCTTATAAGATAACATAACGTGACTAGGAGCATGAGCACACGACCTACGCCAAAGGCACTTATATCATGGCTGAAGCTAATGCTAACACTTCGACAGAGAGAGATCGAATACATCCGAGTATAATCGGCGATAGAAGGCCTTGGCATTAACTCAGCCTTTAATTCAAGGTGGCCTCGTATCATGATTGGGCCCTTGCAAGGCTGCGAGGCCCATGTAGAGAAACACTGTCTAAGCTCATCTGTCCGTTGTAATACTGAATATTATAATAAATCACCAGATAGTTATAGCAGAACAGTCCGCTGAGGGATATCTTCCTGTCTAGGGTAGATAGTTGCCTTATACTTGTTTAGAAAACTGGATTTTCTCTTACAGTCGATAGTGATTCTTATATATGTTGCTTTTCGAGATATGTTGTATGTAGATTTATGCCTATTGTTTTTTACTTTTTGGTCTAGTTTTAACTAGTTTACTGAAGTCGAAGAACAGTTGACGGCTTTCCCATGCCTTTGGAGAGATAACTGGCCATCACTACTATGTGCGCAATGATGTTTGAAGTACCATATATTATTCAACATTATGCTGATGTACTAGGACTATATGAACACCCAAATTGAGGGTGAGATAGAAATATATATACTAGCTGTATACTGTGAATCACTTGCACTCATTCCCACAGATGGGGAATCGTCGAGGAGTGGTATCTAAAAGGGAACCCGCCACTTTACTGCATGAGGTCATTATGTTGTCCGTTATCGGATGACTACAATGTAGTGGTGAATGTATAACAATTCAACATCTCATGATTCCATGCTCAGCTTCTAGAAGATTTCTGGTTTCAGAATCTTTCTGCAACCCCCCATCACATGATGGTGCCCCCACACCATCCCGGCAGGTCCTTCTCAATCCAGCCTAGTGTCAGGCCCTTCCGCAGGCATCGCCGGCTTGGCATCGATGGCCATTGGCCAGGAAGGAACAGACGGAGCGGAGCGCCCCACATAAAAGGCTCGCGAATTAGGTAATGGGATGTTGAACGGGTGTAACGTTGAACACACAAATTTGTTGTGATGCAAAGACTTTCATTCGGCCCGGCGGGTGACTCAGAAGACGGTCTTCTCGCCGGACTCGTTCATTTGTCACCGCAGTTCCTCTTTGATATCTTCAGCCTGTCATTGTTGTTCAGTTCCTGCGCTAGGTTGCCTGTTTGTGTCAATGTAGGAGCGGTAGGGCCGTTGACGTTGTACATCCCTCAGAAACAAACTCTCCCCGTCGCCAGTTCTTTTTACCGTCCCCACTCCTCGTCCATCTCATTTCCCGCGGAGAGGCGAGCTGGGATTTTCACCTTCCCGTCACCGCGCAGTCATGGCCCATCCAACTGGCGACAAGGTTGACTCCCATCTGAATGTTCAGACGGGTCAGTTCTTCCAGGATGGCCGAGAGGAGCCCTATCTGCATGATGCAGAGGAGAAGCAGGACGAGAAGAAGGGCAGCCCCATCTATAATGACACCTTTGGTGATGAAGAGTATGCCGAGGTTAAATATAAGGTCCTGAGCTGGTGGTATGTTTATCCAAGCCTCCTATATCAGCTACTGAACAACTGACTCAGACGTTGCAGGCAATGTGGTTTTCGTAAGTGATTTTGATGCCAGCATCAGTCGACAGCATGTGATACTAACATTGCCAGTCATGGTTGCGGAAACCGTGTCTCTTGGTATTCTGTCGCTGCCAGCTGTTGTCGCAACTCTGGGTCTTGCTCCGTATGTATCTAACCAGCCGCTGTGTGAAGTGATATCTTCCTCTAACCAAGTGTAGCGCTATTGTTCTCATCGTTGGCCTCGGTCTTCTGGCCACCTACACCGGTTACGTCATCGGCCAGTTCAGATGGCGCTATCCTCATGTCCAGAATCTGGCTGATGCCGGTGAGATCCTCTTTGGGTCTATTGGTCGCGAGATCTTCGGTATCGGCCAGCTGCTGCTTGTCATCTTCATCATGGCGAGCCATCTGTTGACCTTCTCGGTTGCCATGAACACGATTACGGAACATGGAACTTGCTCCATTGTTTTCGGTGTTGTCGGCCTCGTGATCTGCTTCCTCCTGGGCCTACCTAGGACGTCTGCAAACGTGTCCTATCTCTCTGTTGCTTGTAAGTCGCCAACAGGGCCAGACACTTCTACGATACTAACCTGCACAGCTTTCATCAGTGTGTTCTCTGCCGTGATGATTGTCATGATTGCCGTTGGTGTGGAACGTCCTTACAAGGGAACCCTATCAGCAACGGTGGATACCAGCTTGTATGAAGCATTCCTTGCCGTCTGCAACATCGTCTTCTCCTTCTGTGGGTCACTTTCCCTTCTGCATTAGCTAACACCTACTAACGTGCAATAGCGGGTCACGTTGCATTCTTCGGCTTCATGTCCGAATTAAAGGATCACAGAGAGTACCCTAAGGCCCTGTGTCTTCTCCAGGGTCTCGACACCATTCTCTACCTTGTCACTTCCGTGGTGATCTACATCTATGCAGGACCTAATGTTACGTCCCCTGCACTAGGTTCCGCTAGTGAGCTCGTGGGCAAGGTGGCCTACGGAATCGCCCTCCCTACTGTACGTGCGTTGCTCATATTGCCCATGCTCTACTGACATTTGATAGATCATCATTGGCGGTGTTGTAAACGGTCATGTCGCTTGTAAATATGTCTATGTCCGTATCTTCCGTCACGGAGATCGGATGCACAGCCGCGACCTCTTGGCAACCGGATCTTGGGTGGGCATTGCCCTGGGATTGTGGATTATTGCCTGGATCATTGCAGAGGCCATTCCAGTGTTCAATGATCTGCTGAGTTTGATTGTATGATGTCCGCCTCTTTCACTCAAGTATCATGCTAACCGCGTTTCAGGCGTCCCTTTTCGCCAGTTGGTCTACATGTAAGCTCATTATCGTCTGCTCGTCATTCACCTACTAACAATAAACAGTCGGCTTCAGCGGCATGTTCTGGCTTTACCTTAATAAGGACCGACTGTTCTCTTCGCCTAGGAAGATTGCCCTGACTATCTTCAACGTTATTATTATCGGTATTGCAGCCTGCATTGTAAGTATATTACTCCGCTTTCGCCCATCAACTCTAACCATAGCACCAGTGCGGTCTCGGACTCTACGTATCCGGCCGGTCTCTTCACGACGACGCCAACGGCAGCAGTTTCTCCTGTGCCAGTAATGCTTGAGCGGTGGTATAGACCAGGTATATATTGCATATAGCGCCACATGTCCCATATTAGACTAGTGCATTTTGTACAGAAAAGCCTATGCAATGAAACGTATAATATAGCTGTATAGTACACACTATTAACCATCCATCATGCCATAATCCTATTATTCACCACCTAATAAGCAACGAATCCCCGCAAATTCCCGATCCCCAGCTTGCCGCCAATCTCACCCGAAAATTTCCCCAAGCGCCAGCGCCAAGACCCCGCCAAGGGTCCGCCAAGATCACCGCGGCGGCGCCATCTTGGCGGTCAGACACTTTGTGGACGCTCAGTCACTGGATCGCTTGTGACGGTCGGCTGAAATTTTTACAGCTGAAGTCAATGCGCAGAAGGAGAATGAGAGAATGAAAAGAGAGTCACTGTAAACCAGACAACTTGGTTATGATGTATCTGTTTACGTAGATAGTACTACCAGTGAGAGGATGATGCTGTGCTATATTGTCTACCCGACGAGGCTGTTGTCAATTTGAGAATGAATATGCGGAGTCCCCGCATTCAAAGCAAGTGATCGTGGCACGTGCCCTGGACTTGTTGTGACCGCTCCACCTCACCCCACTCTCACTCCCTTTCCCACGATGATGATGATGGTGGTGGTGGTGTTGGTTTGGTCAAGCCCCTGCTCAAAGACGCCACCGTTCACTGCATGTCCTATCTGCCAGAAGACTACAAAGCGACTAGCACACCACCAACAGAACTACCAAAGCGCAAAACATTACTCGACGCGACGACGTCATGGGCGCGACGGGTGTCAATCCCCAAGAAATAAGTGAAAGAACGAATGAGTCATGGCGCTCTCCCGCCTGGCAACTAAACCATACCATGAACCTAAGACACTCACTCGCACACAGTCGGCTAAGTTTCAAATTGTCCGCCATGCACGAGCTACTACCTGCACAGCATCCTTGTCTGTGCGAGCATGGACATTAGCATTGGCAACAGCTGCGATAAGCTAGAGCAAGTCGCGTATCAGAGTCCACAATGGCATGTTCCTGATACTCTTGTCATCGCATGGCACACGTGGAAAGGAAGATTACTATCCCCTAGTAGCATGCAAGCCTGCAAGTTGGCTTCGGCTATGTTGACATTCCACGCGCACATACACGGTTGCGGCAACGGCGTCGCTGGGCGTAAAAAAGAGAAGGTAAGATCGACAAGGCTTCTTGGCTTGTGCCGCTGAAACTTGGCCCCCCCGACGGCGTGGTGGTGGTAAAAACTTACTAGAGTAGGTAGGGTTGCTTCATTGCGATGGTCAAACTTTGGAATGGAAATCCGCCAATTTCAGCGACTGCGGGATTTGTTCTGACTGGTGGTGGTGGGCTTGGCAAGTGGCGAGAGGATTGGGGGTGGTGCTGACTGACTGACTATTATCTAACAGTATAGTGGTAGAAGTAATTGGTTTAATCATCCTCGCTACGATGTGAGAGTCCTAAGTGTTTTTCCATGGTTGGTGTACATGTGGTGTTGGGGGAGAGGAGAGAGAGAGAGCCAGGCAGCAAGTGAGTGTTACCGAGCATAAGTGGGTGGTGGGTGCCCTCCACCAACTCGGTCTTGGTATCATTTCTTGTCGCAGCCTCATCAACCCGCGAGAATTCGGGATACCAGCCTGATTCAGAAAGCAAAAGGTTCACAGTCTGACAGACTCCTCGTCATGTCTTCGGCAGTCCTTCCTGTTCGTAAAAATGCATCCCATCCTGGCTGGAACCAAGATCTCGGCATTCATCTGCCCAGCCCTTGGCCGGGAGCCAAGGAGGGAGCGCGGCCCTGAACCTTCCTCGATGGCTTCATTTCTCCCCGTTCATTCGTCTCCTCTGCCCTTGCCGAGATGAGCTGATTGGTGTGACCGAAAAGCTCTTCTTCCGAATATCCTGGTCGTTGAAGCAAGCAATGCAGCCCGACCTCCACCCCGCAGAACTCACGGTTTTTCCGGGGTGCAGCCCTTAGCTATAAAGAGGTCCCGTCGCGTCCCACTCAGTCTCACCGTTGCTTGCGACCTGCATCAGTCCTGATTCAGCCAAAAAAAGACATCTCACCATGTCTTCGGTGCCCACTTTCGCCGGCTTGTCCGGTCGGAAGCTGATCTGGTCTGTGACTTCCTGTGCGACCTTGGGTTTCTTGCTCTTTGGTTACGATCGTAAGGTTTTCCCCTTGCCGGGCGCTATAAGCCTTGAGCTAACCCTGACTTAGAGGGTGTGATGAGCAGTATTATTGACGCCGATCCCTTCAATGACATCTTCACGGCTACGAGAGATAACTCCACCATTCAGGGTGTGGTCACTGCTATCTATGAGCTGGGTAGGTACAGACCTCGGCTTTGGCTTACAACTGTACGCTAACCCTGCTAGGATGTCTCGGCGGTGCGCTCTTCATCCTCGCCTGCGGTGACTGGCTCGGCCGCAGATACTCCATCATGCTGGGTGCCACCATTATGATCATCGGTGTTATCATCCAGGTTACGTCTATCTCGGGACACGTTCCCCTGGCCCAATTCTGTGTCGGACGTGTTATTACCGGTGTCGGAAACGGCATGAACACGTCTACTATCCCCACATACCAGGCTGAATGTTCGAGGACTTCCAATCGTGGTCTACTCATCTGTATCGAGGGTAGTACCATTGCTATTGGAACCCTGATCTCCTACTGGGTGGATTTCGGTGCCTCCTACGGTCCCCCCGACCTCACTTGGCGTTTCCCCATCGCTTTCCAGATCTTCTTCGGTCTTCTTATCATCCTTGGTCTCTTGGTGCTGCCCGAGTCTCCCAGATGGCTGTTTACCCAGGAGCGCTACGAGGAGGGTGAGCGGGTCATTGCCGCCTTGCAGGGCAAGGAGATCAGCCACCACGAAGTCCAGCTGCAGAAGACCATCATTCTGGACTCCCTCAGAGCGTATGACCCCTAGCCCCTAAATCTACGATAAGCTTAAGCTAACCCCCACCAGTTCCGGCATGGCCACCAAGTCCACCCCCCTCTCCGCCGTCTTCACCGGCGGCAAGACCCAGCACTGCCGTCGCATGCTTTTGGGCTGCTCGTCTCAATTCTTCCAGCAAATCGGTGGCTGCAACGCTGTCATCTACTACCTGCCCGTTCTGATGCAGCAATCCCTCCACCAAACAGAATTCATGGCTATGATTCTCGGTGGTGTCAACATGATCGTCTACTCGATCTTCGCCTGCTCGTCCTGGTTCCTGATCCAAAAGGTCGGCCGTCGCAACCTCTTCCTTGTCGGCTCCTTCGGCCAAAGTGCGTCCATGGTGATCACCTTCGCCTGCTTGATCCCCGGCGGTCCCGAAGCCGCCAAGGGTGCCGCTGTAGGCCTGTTCACCTTCATTGCCACCTTCGGCGCAACCTGGCTCCCGCTGCCCTGGCTCTACCCGGCCGAGATTTCCCCAATCAAGACTCGTACCAAGGCGAACGCCATCTCCACCTGCACCAACTGGCTCTTCAACTTCCTCATTGTCATGGTCACCCCCATTATGATTCGCAACATCGGATGGGGCACGTACCTCTTCTTCGCGGTCATCAATGCCCTCTTCATTCCCGTCATTTACTTCTTCTACCCCGAGACAAAAGATCGATCCCTCGAGGAGATTGATTTGATTTTCGCCAAGGGTTACATCGAGAAGATGACCTACGTGCGTGCGGCCAAGGAGCTGCCGCACTTGTCGGACGAAGAGGTCGAGCAGGTTGCTATTCAGTATGGTTTTGGTCCTGCTGATCAGCCGGCTAGTGGCGATAGTGAGAGTACGGAGACTGGTGCGGGTAGGACGGAGGTTGAGGTGGAGAAGCGCAGCGAGTAAGAGGGAATTAATTGGTTAGATTAGATGGTGTGTTCGATAGATGGGCTGTTGTTGTTTGAGGCGGTGATATTCAGATTGACATTGTTTTACTCGTTGGACAAGATACCATATACCAGATGGAGTTTGGCTCTGTCAATATCTCATGGGACATTAATATAGGACTGCAATATACCTACCACAATCCTTACAATAGGATATCGAAGGTTTCTCCACCAATATAATCTCATATGCACAAAACGACTCCCAATAACAGCCAGGCATAAAGCCCAAAACACCCTCATAATAGACGCAACATCCCTCCCCAGCACCTCAAGCCGGCTCTTCCTCTCCACCCACCTAGACGTCTCATCCAAGCTCTCGATCCTAGTATTTCCATCCTCACCCCAAACCAACACCTCCGCATCGCTGAACTTTTGCACTGCACTTTCAACAATAAACCCAATCCAATGATCCTGAACCGTCCTCACCAGCTCCATATGCTTCACCACATCCTGTCCAGTAGACGACACCCCCCCTTATGTTTGGTGGTTCATGCATGACGCTGTTGCAGTAGTTTGGAAGATGGATGGGAAAAATTTGTGATACTCTGTATAAGACCTTTGAGAAGTGGTAACTGCGAACGAAATATCAATTAGCTGATGATAGCGATAAAATCCAACTACGTTTGTATCCAATGAGAGGGGAAAAGAAAAAGTAAGTATAAAACGTCAAGAAATTATGACGCCTACTATCAGGTCAAATACTGCACTGGACTCGCACAGCCCTATTCTGTAACAGATCTTCGCTCGAAATATCATCCAGCAACTGAAGGTGGAAATTGGTGGAGGTTGATGTCTCTTAGGTTATGGTAAGCTCCCCGCTTTTTCTGGATTCAATTTCCGCTTGTTGGAGTCATGATTCCGGACATATGTTTTATTGGTAAAGTCGGCCTGCCATGCACAGGTGTAACTTATGAGTCAAATATGCATGACTACTGACAACCGATCTAAACCAGCTATTTGTTGCCGATCAGCCATCGAAAAGCCAATTAGCAAGATAGTGGATACCGTTGAAAGCGTCCCGAGTGGTTCATTATGACTAACCTTCCTTTTTGGGACCCCGACATGGACCAGCCCTCGTCTTCTTCGAAATGCAGATGTCCTACTCCATAGTAAAGAAACAATAGCAGCAATATCCTTTTCCGAATTCTAACGACCAAGCTTGGTACTTAATTTATCTGGTATCTGCGCGCTAGTCTACTAGCCGACCCTCGAATTTGATCTGCACATAGCTTAACCATTTCGGGACCCCGACTTCGAGGGATCATTTATGCTTGGTATGTAACCACACCTTAAGGACGTCTCAATCGCTAGTAACGCCCTCTGCACCTTTAAATCCATCTAGACAGCAAATTGGCTCTATAACTATCATCATTATTTGTCAAGCCATTCAGTCCGCTGCAGAAAAGTTCGCTCACACTACACGCTAAAGCCACTGCCTGAGTACCTTACTAACCTGTGGCGCAGTCCAACACCCGGCATGATGGAATCGGCTGCAACAATTCAATGTACTTCCCAACAAACTCGATTTCATATCGAATCTCCCAATTACCGCGAGGTAAGAGCATTCTGTTGCAGCTATGATTTACACAGGATCAAGAAGTCTTATGTGTTGACTGCCCATGTCTCCAGCTCGACATAAAAGGACTGCAAATTCTCGTTACATCAGGTGACAAGAAGTCCACCGCGAAGGGGAAGTCCAAAGCGAAATCTAAAGACGGTATCGAGATTTTATCCAACGCGGAATTGTCACTGAAAGAAGGTCGGCGATATGCTCTCGTCGGTCGAAATGGGACCGGGAAGTCAAGTGAGAGCAATCCTGCCAGACATATCAATCCTAGTCAAGGACTAACCAGTCTGCCACGTCTTAAAACAGCACTTCTGACAAGTATAGCAGAGAAGCTCATCCCAGGGATACCAGAGAATACAAAAATTGCTATCCTTCAGCAAACCAGGCTGACGGATGGGGCTGATGGTCCCAAGCCAGCGGGTGGAGATAGTATAGGTCTTAGTGTCCTACAGACCGTGATAGAGAGAGCCACGTCTAGGAGTACTATCGAACAAGAGATATTAAGTACGTCTATACTTGAAGGTGCTGTGTCCTAGCTAACAAGTTAGCCCTGTCTCAGGGAATCGATACTTCGGATCCTTATGCTCCAGTTAGAGCGCTTCGATCGCTGAAACATGAGCGCCTCCAAAAACGCCTTTTCATATTGGACAAAGATGCTCGACTTCGCAGTGGTATGCGAGGTATGCAAGCCAGGAAAGCACTTGTAGCTTTTGAGAAAGTTGTTGCTGAATCAAAGAGAATGTGCGTGGACGATCCGTGTCCACCTCTGGCCTTGCTTAACGCTAGTCCTTCCGAACTGACAATTTTCTTAGGCTAGAACAATCCAGCGAAGACATATCAGCCGAAACCCTACAGCAGGAGACTCGGGAGGCAGTGGATATGCTCGCGCATCTTCAAGCACAAATCGAACCAGCTCTCGTTGCACAAACAGAGACTAGGGCGCGAAGTATCCTGACCGGATTAGGGTTTTCATCCGCAATGATGGCGAAGCCTATCTCCGACTTATCGGGCGGTTGGCACATGCGAGCAGCTCTTGCATCTACACTTCTACAGGACGCCGATATATTGATTCTCGACGAACCCACAAACTTCCTCGACATGTTGGGCATTATCTGGCTTCAACGGTATCTCACATCGCTGGAGGAGAACAGAAAGCCACCTACCATGATCATCGTCTCCCACGATCGAGACTTCATCAGTCTCTGCACGGACCTGATCATTCTCAAAGATAAACAACTCACGTACTTCCACGGAGACCTACCGACATACGAGACATCGCAATCCGAACGACGAAAATACCTTACGACGATGAAGGAAGCGCAGGACAAGCAGAAAGCCCACATTGAGAAGACGATCGCAGCCAACCTCAAAGCAGGCAAGGCAAACGACGATCAGAACAAGATCCGACAAGCAAAGTCACGCCAGAAGAAACTGGATAATCGCTGGGGCATGGAAGTCGGTGCCAGGGGCGGTAGGTTCAAGTTGAATCGCGACCTAGTTGGCTACCACTTTACTGCTCGAGATGAGATCGAGATACCCCCAGAGGAACGCCCTGTTATAATAAATCTACCCGAACCGCCTGATTTACGATTCCCAGGATCGCTCATAACCCTCGAAAAAGTCAGCTTTCGTTACTCGGCTACGTCTCCGATCGTCATCCGAGATGTCGACCTCTCGGTCGGCATGGGAGACCGAATTGGGATACTGGGGCTGAACGGCGCGGGCAAGTCAACACTGATCCAAACATTGGTGGGCGAAACGACTGCGACACAAGGAACAAGGAACACTCATCCTCGCCTACGCCTGGGATATTACTCCCAGCATGGCGTCGAGGCCTTGCAAGCCCTTGGTGCACAGGAGGAGACGCTCACAGCGCTGACACTATTGACGCGGGAGGTTAATGGGGAATTGACAGAGGGTGAAGTCCGCGGCCTCTTGAGCCAGCTTGGACTTCCCGGACGTTTAGCCTCCGATGTACCTATACGCAAGCTGTCGGGTGGACAGCTGGTTCGCTGTGCACTGGCACGGTTGTTCTGGCGTCGACCCCATTGTCTTGTTCTGGATGAGGTTACGACTCACTTGGACTATGAGACTGTTACGGCGCTGAGACGCGCACTTAATGAATGGGATGGGGCGGTTGTTGCCGTTAGTCACGATAGATGGTTTATGAGGGGGACTGTGGAGGGGGTTGTGGATGGTGGTCAATCGGAGGGTGAGGAGGATGATAGTGAGGATGAGTTAGAAGAAAGGAGGAGAGTCATATGTATGGTACGTAGTGGGGAGTTAAGTGTCCTGGGGCGCGGTGTTGATGAGTTTGAGGAACGGATGGAAAGGCGTGTGAGGAAGTTGATTGACTAGCCCCAAATTAGGGTGTGCGGTGAAAGTGCCAACAGGGGAAGATTCATTTAGCCTGATATTATTGGGCCATATCTGGACAGGTGAAACTCAGGGTAATCTCGGCAGTTATAGGCTATTATAACATCATTCTGTTTGATGACTGCCTACCTTCGACTTTTTAGAACAGCTCATAGTGGAGCAACTAGTACGTCGGGAAAATAATAAGTCTTAATTCCATCGGTAAAAGCCATATTGCAGCCCCCGCTGCGGATAGAGTACGGGTCAAAACGCCTTGACATTCAGGGCAACCAATTGCCGTTACCGGGAATAGTTAAAATTGGAGCCTACAATCAAGGCCGGACGTCTTACAGATCCCTGTCTAGTGACATCCCTCTAATTTAACCCCTGTCCCTATCGGCTTTGATATACTGGATTATATGCCGAAGATCCCAGCATGGTCCGATTCGGAGCCGTGACGAAGTGTAGAAGCTAAAACCACAAGCCGCGGAAAATGACAAGCCGTGGAAAACGATAAGCCGTGGATTCAACCCAGTGTTGCAGGCCTTGTATAGCATGGAACATCGAGTCGCCAATCCGGACGTTATGACATTCCTACCGGACATTGGCAAGCAATGCTTCCTCTTCCTTAGAGAGTCCACCGCCTGGGACCGTGAAGAGGAAAGTGATCCCAAGGTAAAATGCTCGGGGCAGGTATCTGCTTATGCTATTTTGAAATTCCCAGGAGTTGATCTGTTCCTTTCTACAGTGCTTAACAAATACCTAGCCCACTAAGAATGGGTCTTCCGGATGCGCTAGCTACTGTAGCGGGATCGGTTAACAATTTAACCTAGTACGACTGGCATTTGTTAATGATCATCCCCCTACGGGTGGATTACCATTCTAGGAAAAGGCTGGCTAGGAATACAGGGGATCCACCATGACCTTGACTTGTCTAATCACTAACTATGCCTTGCCCAACAGAAGGGAAGGACCAATGTTGAATAAGTCTTTCCAATCAGAGTGGGTACGACTTTTTAGCTCTCACACGCCCAACGTTCCAGAACGAAGAAACAAGCAATCATTATCCCGAGCTGGAGTCAATTTACCCAGATTCTGCCTCAAAGGCTACTTCTAGAACCCTAGTTGACACTGGCGGTCCAGTTGTCAACCGTGAAGGTTGCCGGGCCCCCGGTGAACGCCTCAGTTCCAAACTGCAGATCTACACATCACTTCTGTTAGTGACTGTTTCGCTGCGGCGTCCGCTGGTAGAATCAGGGAATCTTACTGATCAAGTACTGAGAGCTGGCGGGAAAGCCTTGGTTCTGAGTTAGATAGCTGAAAAATGCATTGATGTCCCCACTGTATGAGTTGATAGGGCTTTCCGACACGAAGCTGTATGTCCTCTGCTCCGCACCGGCCTGGGTGGTGCTGCCATACCACACCTCCCAGGACTTGCCTCCCACTGTGGCCGTGGCAATTTGCTTGCCAATGGGCTGGATGTTGCCGTAGCGGGCAAGCCTGGGGTTGTTAGATTTCTGTATTCTTTGATTCTTTGCGAGCTCACATACCAAATCATCAGTTCATAGTCGCCGCTAGAAGTAGCATGGTCCACATTCGCCGCGGTGAAAAGATCATACGCGACATCGGCGTTGACGTTGGTGTTGTCCTGCTTCCATTCCACCGAGGTGGGGATGCTTGATACATCACTCACGAGCTTCTTGTTAAATGTAACGCCAGAGTTAGAGTAGCTTTTCACTGTTCCCTCACCACCGCTCCAGGTCCATTCGGTGTGCCAGGATGCACCACTGCTGGAGAGTTTGTCGACATATACACACTGGCTGCCGGTGCCTTGGTACTCGCCCCAGAGGTTCTGGTTCACTGAATATGGGGGGCTCGAGGCACTGTCATATTGAGAGCACATCGTCTGGCCCATGGCGGTGGCCGCAAGCATAGCAAGTGTCACAGGGAGCTTCATGTTGGGCGTTAGAGCGGAGGAGCGGCAATCAAGGGGAATTCGAAAGGAATAAGAGGACAAGTGTTTAGGATAAGACACCAACACGGAGGGAGCGGCAGATGAGGCAGCTTAAATACCTGAATCTCTCAACAATGCTTACTATCGCCATTAGGATTGTCCGAATTTCCGTGTCCAATATGGCATTCAAGAAGAAGTAAGCCAACTAGCTATTGCGGGTTGCGCCGCCATCTCACGCCAATCTGCAACAGACATGCACATCCTCCGTTTCAAAATGAGACCCTATATCGGAGCACTTTCCGTTTAAAGTTAGTGATGGTCCGTGGCAGTCGGTAACCGAACAATGTGGAGAACGGGATCTGATGGGAAACAAGAAAAGGGTCCTGCTTGTGCTGACGATATTAATTTAGAAGGATAGACCAACTCAATTTAGATGAGCATGGCTTAGGGATCGGCCTTTTGTCGGTGAAATATCAACAGGGCTTAGGTGTTTTGACTGATACGAAGCTCACGGGTAAGAAGCTTGCTATCTGCTCGTATAAACATGCCCTTCTTAAACTCCTGGCGTTGAACAGCGCGAGACTTGTGCATCTTGCGGGATTCACACAGTGTGTGGCGGAGTAATTCAACGCACAGGCGAGGAAGTACGATAGGAGTCATTTTCGTTTCTCATTTTTCAACGTCTCTAGATATAGATATTTGATCTTAGCCGGATTCTAGACATTGAATAGAGTCAAACACCGCTGATTTAGACAATAATTGGCAAGATTGGTGGTGGCGGTAGTGGTGGTGGTGGTGGTCAGGCAGGGACGTGTTGGTCAGAACCCGTTGTTTTGGGGTGCTCGGGTCGGGCGGATTGCTCGGGTCCCACGGAATGACTCTAGTACATCATGTGTTTATCATATTACTGTTCTCTGGTCCCCAGGGGTAATGGGGCCATGTCAGTGGGGGCCGCAATCCAACTAAGGCTGCGGTAATTTCTTCTCTGTAGTCTCATAGTAGCTGCAGTTGTTCTCTCGTGCCTGCACTTTTCTTCTGCCCCCAGTCCTCTCTGACCCAGAGTTATCTCCTGCCTACAGTATCCTCTTGACCGCAGATTTCTGTTGCCTGTAGCTATCGATTATCCACAATCTCCTATTACGACTGGGCAGTTTGATTAGAATCAATATCTGTGAAACATACCACCTAGCCAACAAATGTCGATTGTCTAGAACCTTCCCGCCTCACCCTCTGCTCCCCACCCACCAAAACCTCGATATAACCTACCGCCTTAACCTCCCCGACTTGGCTTATCATAAGTCCTAAACACACAGACGCTCGCCGATATTAGAGGCCCCAATTTTGACATCTAAGGTGGAGTTGGTGGCGAAGATCCAGGATCATGGGGTTATCTGTTGACGGGAGGCCTGTATGAAAGGTTCATGATGAGGTGGTGTCAATTCAGGGCGAGGATAGGGTTACTAGGGTTGAGATACTGGATGAGACATCCAGTTGGGTGGGGAGCTTTAGTTGCTTTACAGGAATGTCGGGTCGATGATAAGAGTATTTAGGATGCTGGGTTGGGTGATCGTGGAGAGGATCCATCCCGAGATCTTAGCTGGGGGTCTAGGCCTGTAGCTTAAGCTTATTGTCTTTCCAATAATGTATGCATATCTACTCCCTTCCACATCAAGAAAACGGCCTATGAAACTCCACCAAGATCGCCGGAAACCGACGATCCACACTGGCCCAAGCCAACTCAATCAAAAGCCCATCTGGAATTTTGACAATACCAGTGACAGCTACACACAGGCTAAGTGCCCGGACCCGCATCACCCCTACCCAGTCGTGCATCTCCTTGCAGTATTCCATTTCACAAAGAAGAATTTTCTACCACCGCTCACAGTTTAGTCTTTCTTCAACTCCTATGTAAGTAGGGAGGTTCACTGACCTTGTCTTTGATGATCGTCAATAGGTGGCCGAAGATCGGCTTCAATGCTACTGTTTTGAGAGTGACCCTAGTGCTGTCATGCGTATCCAGGTAATCCAACGCGAGCGCCTGGGCTATTGATGCGTCGCCAGTGGCGGTGATGGCTTGGGTTTGGGCCCGTATAGAAGGGATACTGTTATTATCCAAGTCAAATGTAGAAAGGGTCTTTTGGAGGACAACAGCTTGTTCGTTCAAGCGTAGAAGGAGTAAGATGAGGTTGTTGAGGCCACTGTCTGGGTTGGGGATGCTGGGTGGTGGTGTGGAAGCTTGGGCAGGTACGGCGGCAGAGATATTTGTAGACGAGTTGCTAGTTCCGTTGATGGAATAATCGGTATTCCCTCGGAGGGTAGGAATCCCTTGAAGAGTTGGAGCAACAACAAGCAGCATAAAGATGGAGAGGTTCATTTTCATTTTCATAGTCGGGTGGCAATGAAGCCTGGATAGAGGTGATGAGATTAGACAGCAGAATATGGCAGCTTGAATTATTCAATATATAAGTTCAGTTTCCGACCGCGGTTAAATTCAAAACATCATGGTTATGAAAAAGATCTATTGTATTTGTGCCACTGCGAGAGTTACGTACGAGAAGTCATCAAAAGCCCTTGTCGCGCGGTAGTCAAGCTAAGGTCACACGCATTATATATGTCTGCATGCTGGTGCCATTAGACTTCTAGCAGATTTATATTAGGTCACTGGAGCCTTGAAAAAAGAGTTTCAATGTTAATAGCCTGCGAAGTTTCAAGGTGCAGTATGAGACTCGCCATATAGAAAACGATGGTATTAGGGTTACATGGCCGCTGATGTGTATCCGGGGATGAATTACGGCGCAAAATTGTGCCATATAGCCAGTGAAACCTCTACGACGAATTTTTCGACGGACACACGTGAAGGATGTTTCGCTCGATATTAATTTCCGTGTCTAGTTTCTGTGTCCTCTGCACAGTCTCTGGGTGCTTAGATACTAGCTTGGATCCTTTGAATGCAAAGATAATCAATACTACTAGCGAGAGCAAAATAGAGTTGATCTGCTATAAGCTTTTATACGTAATTTCGCCTTGCTAGTGACCCTCTGCAATGTTGCGCTGTGGTAGATCAGCTGCATGCCCCCAGGGCATCAATTTTCAAGCTTCTCCTCTGAATAAAAAAGGATATAACGCACTGTGTCTGCTCCCAGCGTTTCGTCAAAGTCCAGGACCTTCATGTTCATTTCCATCACGGGAAACTTTAGCGTCTCGGACTGGCATCTTATCAATCCACACGGCACTACTGCACCTCCACACCAATCATGCATTGCGAACCCCATATCGCGGCCGCGTCTTTAAGGAATGCGGAGAAGTCCAGATAAGAGAGGGAAGGCATCGGCCTCCCCTCTTTCCCCTCTCCATCCATCCAAAAATGCCTTCATCCTCGAGTACAGCCCGTGCAAGCACTTCTTGCCGTCGCTGCCACCGACGGAAGAAGCGCTGCGACCGTACACTTCCACAATGTGAGACCTGTATCCATGCCCAGGTAGAATGCAGCTTTCTTGATGATGACAGACAAGTCGGAACATATCCAATCGCGTAAGTTTGGTGGCAGTAACATGAGTTCATCCACTAATTCCAGGGTTTGAAGCTACGTCCAAGGGCTCGAATGTCGCGTCAAGGAGCTAGAAAAGCAACTTTCCGCAGCCCTAGCATCAACACCATACCCTACCCTCCAACTTGATCAGGATTTCGACCAGCCAGTAATCAACTTCGCGACACCTCCGGACACGGACGCTAGCGACACCTTCCCCATAGCGACTCCTCCATCTCAGAGCCGATCGGACTTTCTGGTCGATGAGCTCAAGCGACTGTCCCTAGAAGCAGCAGCAGAGCGACATCTTGGTTCCTCTTCAGGGCTATCCTTCGCCAAGTTAACCCAGGCAGTCCTTCGACGGCTATCCCCCGACAAAGCCGAGTTTGTATTCGATGATACCCCAGACGAGTCGCCAGAGCAATACGGTGAACCTTTCTCAGACCCTCTACTCGATGCTTCAACTTCCCTCTGGGAACTGAACAACTCGTTCTCCTCACCATGCCTCTTCAACCAACTTCCACTGTCACACGTCATGGAAGACGAGACAACGCTGGCCGATCTGCAATTACCCGACAGAGCACATATCGAATACTTAATGGAGTTCTACTTCGCACATTCCCACACACTGTACCCTATCATCCGCCAGACCGAGTTCACCTCCGTCATATGGCGAGTATACAACAATCCACAAGACCCTCTGGCAGGGTCTCCACTTTGGATGTTTCGCATCTGGATGGTTCTGGCCATTGGCTCGACGACACACTGTTCCGTAACCCTGGGAGATGAATCCGAGTCTGTGCTGTACTACAATAAGGCAATGGGGTATTTCGAGGATGCGCTTGGACTAGGCGATATGGTATGTCCACTTCCGATTAGGTAGACTGGAACAACTGACTAACGACTCAGGCCGCACTAGAGGTCATGATGCTGCAAGTCTCTTACTCATTCTTCAACCAAGTCGGACCAAGTACGTACACCCTGATTCCGATATATCCTCTACTAATTAAATAAAAGACACATTCTTCCTCGTCGGCGTTGCCGCCCGCATGGCCATCGGTATAGGCCTACACAGCTCCTCAAGCTACGCCAGCCTCCCATCTGACGTGATCGAATACCGCAAGCGGATTTTCTTCTCTTTGTACATGATGGACAGGTACCTCTCCCCTAAACCCACACCCTATCCTTTATCCACTCTAATAAGTATCAACAGAGTAGTGTCCATAGCCCTAGGCCGCCCCTTCGCCATCCACGACGCCGACATTGACGTCGAGGTAGCCCCTCTCCCCAAGGTTCATCTCCTATAAACCAATCTAATACACAACTACAGCCCTTCACCGACACCACCACAACAGACGACCTAAACCACACAACCAACCTCTCCATCCCACTACACATCCTCTCCCTCCGCCGCATCGCCAGCGAAATCACCACAGCCCTCCACTCCCCAACGAACACGCACAACTCAGACCGCCAGACAACCCTCCAAACTCTACACAAGAAGCTCCTCCACTGGCGACGCACCATGCCCTTCCCACTCCCACCAACCCCATCCCCAATCCCACATCTAACCAGCGCCTGGTTCGATCTGAACTACTACACGCACATGACGATGCTGTACCGGCCATCTCCTCTCTTCCCGTCTCTCGACGAACAGAAAGTGAAGATGTTAGCGACAGCTGCGGCAATGGCTATTCGGCAGGCGATGAATCTGCATCGGCAGGGGCGGTTCGCGTATAATTGGTTGAATCTTTTAGGGGTGTTTCAGAGTGCGGTGGCGTTGATGTATGCTACGCTGGCGAGGCCGGATGAGTTGGGGGTTGTGGTTCGGGAGAGTAAAGTGGTGGAGGATTTGGGGCTGGTGTTGGAGTTGTTGAGGGTTTTTGGGAGGAAGTTTGGGGTTGCGGGGAGGTTGGAGAGGATTGTAGGGGTAGTGGTGGGGAGGTTGGGGGAGTTTTATGATGGGGGTAGGGTTGGTGTGATGGTATGAGTATAGGAGACAAGATAGCTATGTTACGAGAGATATGTGTATACAATAGGTTTAGCAAGGTCGGTAATTAGTTCTCGATTCAGTACTATATATCAGGTTTAACGGATGCAAATTGTAGTGGTGTGGTAGATACACAGTAGATATAAACAATTTTGATGAACGTCGAACATTATGAAGGCTGAAAGCTCTCAGAAAAGCCAGGCACACCTCAGGAAATACGCGCGGTATCATAAATGTAGTTTTCAATAGTCATGTCCTTGTCTTTTGCCAGACTAAGTGCAACCACCGTGATGGGGCCGCCTTGAATGAGAGACGGCAGCGGTCCACCGGGTGCAACTAACTCAGCTTGAAGGACTCCAGTCATAATCAAAATAGGAAGGCATGGTTTCACTCTGTGGATGTGGTTGACGAAACGCGTGATGGTTTCGGCACTATCCGCGACAGCTTCCACAAGCACAACAGTGTCCTTTTCCTGTAAATGGTCGAGATCGATCTCTTCTGGGTCATATGCTTGCAGCGGGCAAGCTTCCTTGAAGACATCGCAGATTCCGGCAGCCATGTGGTGACTATTCCCCATTAGGGGAACGATAAGCATTCCGCTTTCACGGACCAGTTGATAACCAGTCGCTTTAGGCTCCTGGGGATTCTCAATTGCAACCTCCTCAAGGCCTCGTAGCTCGCTTATGTATTCGTTGGCGAGATACCATCCAGCTTCGTGAAAGACCTTTTCCTCCAGATCGTGATTGGGAAAATAAATCGTTTTCAGCATTTCCGTATGCAGCAGCTTTGCTGTGCCCTTGTGGGTCGCGTGAGTAAGGGTAAACTGATGTTGAACGAGTTGATCAAAAAATGCCGGCTCCTCGAGTTCCCTCAGATGGAGGGTGGTTGAATCTATGCAATCCTTCGAATCCTTCAATGTCGAAGCCATGCCGGATAACCATTCCGCATCACAGTGGGGATTAGTTGGCCGATGAAGGATAATCGGATAATGTGCTCGTTGAAGCATCTTCTCAGGCGAACCGGAGCCTCCAAACGCCCATACCTGCAAGTTATGGACTGTCCTGAGGCGTTCGACCAGTCTCTCTTTAACCGAGGGGGTCACGATATGACCGTTAGAAAGTGGGCCCGAGCCAATGACTTTGATGGAATGTGAGAGACCCTCTTGGGCCAGAACTCTTTCCCACAGCAAGCGTAGTCTGGAAGTCACTATGATTATGCGAAGGCGCGGACACTGCGAGACACGATTTAAAAAGCTTCTGATTTCAGGATATAGAGAAATTGCGGACGCAGCCTTTTCGCAGGTCTCGTCAAATCGGCCCTCCGCCGCAACTTGCTCATAAGCTAAGCTTGATTGACGGCAATCAAAGTCATCGGCTATGAATCCGCACCATGGATGCTTATCCGGCAACTGACGGCGTCCCTCGTAAACATCGGCACAATCACCGAAATAATATTTTCCCCAGAAGATCTGCTCTTCATATTTGGGTGTGAGGATTCCATCGCAGTCCATGACTATAACCTTCTCCACATGCCCTTGCCAAGGGGCTACAATCTCGTCAATACGCTGATCCACTATACCTTGGTTGTGCTCTTCATTTCGATCAAGCTGAATGGTGTGGATGAGGGTGATAATCCTCGAAATGTCAAGAGGGTCCACAATGGTGAACATGATCTTCCGGTCTAAACACGCGTCTTTCAGCCCAATGATTTCTTCATCGGCCCATTCACGAAAGTAATCAAGGGAACACCAATCAAGTTCCTTTTCAGCGTCGTCCATGCAACGGCGATGGACCACCTCGACAGGGGTGTTTAAATATATAATATGCGTGAACGGTCCATTAGTACAGCCATCATCAAGAATTATCTCGTATGGAGGATGGCCGTCCTCGTCCGGTAGCATGTAATTAGCTGTGGCAATTCCTGCGATCCCTGATTGATCGCATTCATGCCTGATAGATTCAAAGGCCCTATCATTGACAAACCAGTTAGAAGGCCTGGTTTGGCCGACCTCCTCAAACTCATAGAATGAAAAAGGGCCCCCTTCGAGCTCCCTTCTGAGTTGATTGAGAAGATAGGTCTTTCCAGATCCGGGAAGGCCAAATATGCCTATCAAGTTCTGCCTGCGTGGGTCAGATGGATTCACTGACATGGTGAAGATATTGCAGTGACCGGGAGAGGATGGGTGATGGAGATGAAGACTGGTTATGCAAAACAGACAGGAACCTTTGAAGGCAAAGATGTATCTATGATCTGGGGAGAGAGATAGAGTATGACAAATGCTTCAGTGGTGAGCAATGAGTCGATAGGAGAAAGTGACATCTATGGTACAACGACTACATACTTATATCAAGGCAAGAGCAACCATGCGGTTCACATAGCATGTAGGGAAAGCATAAAGTCCATTGCTTGAGCTTGAATCCAGGGAACCCCCACTGAATTACATGCTTGGTATTGTTCCATAACGGTAAGCACCATGCGATCTTTTGACCGTTATGCGGTCGTTCGTATATCTGAGATTTTCCATTTGAAAAATTGTATCATGTACGAGTCACTTAGAGGTACCAGTAACATTTAATCACTGTTAGGTCCCGTCGAATACAATAATAGTAAACAAGAAGTCCTTGGACATCTTCGTATAAGACTGATAGTGAAGGGGTTCTGCCTGTATCTGCTACGATACCTGTGTGGATAATCGCACACATATGAAAGCATTTTCTCAATCCTTAATTTTCGGCAGTTCGACAACAT